GTAGAATCTCCAGGGCCGCACCTCGTAGTGCTACTACCAAAGCGGTCGCTTTCTGTTGGTCATTCCAGCTATTCGACAAGGCCGCAGCTTCAAATTGCTTCTTATAAGTAGTCCACGACGTCTGCCCATCGAAAATAGGGGGTTGAACTCTCACCGGACTGAATTCTGCAGGGGTCGCAATTGTAGGTCGTGGTGTTTGCAACCTTTCTTCGAGCTCCTTGATCTTGTTTTCCATTTCATTTCTCACCTCGTCCACTTCATTTCGCACGACTTGGAGGATTTCGCTTCGGCTGTTCAAAAGTGTAGTTTGCATAGCTTTTAAATTTTCTTCCATTATTCTTTGATTTTCTTCCATTATTCTGCGATCTTCTTTTCTATTTTCTTCCATTATTCTTCGATCTTCTTTTCTACTTTCTTCCATTATTCTTTGATTTTCTTCCATTATTCTGCGATCTTCTTTTCTATTTTCTTCCATTATTCTTCGATCTTCTTTTCTACTTTCTTCCATTATTCTTTGATTTTCGCTCAACATTTTCATCATTTTTGTCAGTTGTTCCTCCATGTTGGCTGTTTGCGCTCTTGTGGTAGTCGGCATAAAATTTTCTTCTAGAAACTTCTAGAGCCTTGACAGATGTCAATTCTCGAAGCCAATGTCAGGTGATGAAAGTCTAATTCCGTTATTCCACTCTTACCGCGGGAGAGAATTTTCTCGAAAGTTCACTTTGTTCCGGTCTCCCCTAGTAGCACCAACCAAATTCGAATCCCGATTTATTTCACAATTAATCCCACTCCTGACACCAGTGTTACGATTGACGGACGAATAATAAATCGGGTGTTGGTAAAACTCAAAAAATTTATTTCTTCAGGTCGAATTACAACACTATCTATTGCGACGAATATGTACAGAAATTATTCCGGCGCTCTCGACTGTCTTCACTGGATGAATGAATCCATTACCTACGGTCGCCTCTATTTAAACCCATAGTCTCTGATCGAGATCCTTCACAAACATCCATCGCGACTCCGCTTCGAGACTCCCCTGGACGCCGCTTCGAGACGCTCCAGACCTGTCTTTATGCGCCCGCCTCTCGGCCGTCAACAGCGATGATTCACCCATCAGCGCCGTGCGTACGTCCAGAAGGCTCTCGACCGCCATAGGCGTCGTACTGGGGCGGCGTAAGGGTGTATTTCGTAACAATATTTTAACTTTTTAATGTTTTAAATTTTAGATTTTTCAAGTTTTCAGTTCTTCAATGTTTTGACGTTTCTGAATTTTTAGTTTTCGGATTTCTCAATTAATCTATTTTTTTATATTACCATTTCTCCACTTCCTAAAGTTTCGATTTTTCAGTTCTTCAATTTTTCGATTATTCAGGTTTTCGATTTTTCAATTTCTCGATTTTTTAAGTTTGCGATTTTTCGACTCTGCTTTTTGGACTTTTCTGTTTCTCAGCTTTTAGACTTTGCAATTTTTTTGCATTTTTCGACTATATTTTACTTTCCGATTTTTTTGATTTTTGAATTCTCGATTTTTCAATTTTCCGGTTTTTTAATTCTTCTATTCTCGATTTTTCGATTTTCCATTAATCATTAAATTTTCCATTTTCTGATTTTACGATTTTTCGATTTGCGATTTTTCGATTTTCGTTTTTCCACTTTTGTGGTTTTTAGATTTTTCTGTTTGTTTCAGTTTTTATGGTTTTGCAATTTGTTTTATTTTTCCATTTTTCGATTATTTTACTTTCCGAGAGTTTGATTTTTGAATTTTCGGTTTTTCCATTTTTCGATTTGGGATTTTTCAATTTTTCGGTTTTTTAATTTTTCATATTTCGATTTTCGATTTTTCAGATTTGTGGATTTGTGTCTGTTTTTTCGATTTTTAGAATATTGATTAATCGAATTTTCGATTTTTGAGGCATTTCGATTTTTCGATTATCATTTTTACGATTTTTCAAAACCTCGATATTCGAGTTTTCAATTTTCCATTTTTCAAATTTTCGATTTTTAATTTTGCTTTTTTCGATTGTTGCTTTTTAGAATTTTCCCGTTCTTCAGCTTTTAGATTTCAATTTTGTTACTTTCCGATTTTCCACTTTTCGATTTTTTTATTTTTTTTCGATCGTCGTTTTTTCGATTTTCATTTTTCCGATTTTTTGATTTTTCAATTTTTAGGCCTTGCAATTTTTTTTACTTTTCGCTTTTTCGAGTATTTGTTTCATCGAATTTTCGATTTTTCGATTTTCGATTTTTCGGTTTTTCCATTTTCCGATTTTCCATTTTTAGATATTTTTCGATTTTTTTTGATTTTTCGATTTTTCTGTTCGTCAGTTTTGAGACTTTGCAATTTTTACTTTTCCACTTTTCTATTATTTTAGTTTTGGATTATTCGATTTTTGAATTTTGTTTTTTTTTTTCATTTTTCGATTTCCGATTTTTTAATTTTTCGATTTTTCGGTTTTTTAATTTGTCGATTCTCGATATTCCGATTTTCGATTTTTCGATTTTCCAATCTTCGATTTTTCAGTTTCCAGTTTTCGATTTTCCACTTTTTGATTTTACGATTTTTCGATTTTTCTGTTCGTCAGTTTTTAGGCTTTGCAATTTGTTTACTTTTCGATTTTTCGATTATTTTACTTTCCAATTTTTTGATTTTTGAATTGTCGACTTTTAGAGTTTTCAATATTATGAATTTTCGATTTTTCCATTTTTCGGTTTTTTGATTGTTCAATTCTCGGTTTTTCAATCTTGCAAAGTTTCGATTTTTCAGATTTGTGAATTTCCAGTTTTTCGATCGACCTACGTACTAGATTCATTGAATTTTCGATTTTCGGTTTTTCCATTTTTAGATTTTCGATTTTCCAGTTTTGTATTTTCAGATTTTCTGTTTTTCGCATATCTGATTTATCAAATTTTCGATTTTTCGGCTTTTCGATTTTTCGATATTTGATTTTCGAATTTTCGATTGTTCAGTTTTCCATTTTTCAGCTTTTAGACTTCAATTTTTTTACTTTTCGATTTTCCAAATTTTCGAGTTCCAATTTTCAGATTTTTGATTTTTCGATTTTCTTTTTAAATCTTTGAATTTTTCGGTTTTGATTTTTCGAATTTTTGATTTTTAATTTTTCCATTCTTCGGTTTTTAGACTTCAATTTTCTTACTTTTAAATTTTTCGATATTCTATTTTCCGCTTTTCAGAATTTTCGATTTTCAGTTTTCAGACTTTCGATCATTAGAATTTTGGATTTTCAGTTTGTCCATTGTCAATTTTTATAATTTTCGGTTTTTCAATTTTTCTATTCTCAACTGTTAGACTTCAATTTTGTTACTTTCCCGATTTTTTGGTGTTCGATTTTCCAATTTTCAGAATTTCCAAGTTTCTTTATTCAGATTTTCGATTTTCCACTTTTTCGATTTTAGATTTTTCGAATTTTTGTTTTTCCAATTTTTTGGTTTTTCGATTTTTCTGTTCGTTTCAGTTTTTAGGCTTTGCAATTTTTTCTACTTCATATATATTGATAATTTTAATTTCCGATTTTTTTTATTTTTGTTTTTGATTTTTTTAATTTTCAATATTACTTTTCGATTTTTTGGTTTTCCCGTTTTTTAATTTTCGATTTTTCGATTTTTGAGGTTTGTGAATTTCCACTTTTCGATCGACCTAGGTATTTGATTAATTGAATTTTCGATTTTTTAATTAGCCATTTTATTTTTTTGATTTTTACGATTCGTATTTTTCGAGTTTCTGTTTTTTGCATTTGTGAATTTCATTTTTTCCGATTTTTGATTTTGCGCATATTAATCAAATTTTCGAAAAAGTTACCATGCTTACAAAAACTTCAAAACATCTACAATATTTATTCAAAGTATTCAATTTTGCTATTCTTGATTTCTTCAATAAAATAAATTGACTCAGTCATTAACTTTTTTGAAACACCCTGTATAACCAAATCTAAAAGATATTAATGCAGTGATAAATCACAAGTATAAAAACTCATCATATTTAATACATTTAAGATAGGATTTATTCTGCAAAATTTTGAGGTGACGTCATAAATTTTTTAGAGGGGACACTCGACAATATCGTTTTTTTTTTATTTATTTATTTATTTATTATGAACATTTAGGAGTATTTTATTGGAAAAAGTGATGAAATTTTTTGTACGGAACAATTGGTCGAAAGATGTTAGAAAGCAAAATAATTCATGTCCGGACCATCGGTACTCACGAACGAAAGTGACCATTATTTTATGGGAACAACTACCTGCTAAATCTTCTCCGACAAATTTGAGAGAACTGGTGTGAGCCATAAATACTTCTTACCAAATGTAAATTTCGTTGTAGTTTGAGCCTACCTACAAATTCTGCCCTTGAAGGATTTGGACCGCCTTCTTCGGTGAGGGCAGGCAAAAATGATCCGCCCATAGGCTCAAAACATTTGCGTACATACAAGACGCATTTAAGGCTGTTTTAAGTCTGCTACATTTAATTTTTGAGATTTTAAATTTATTTCTTGATGTCTAAATCGTATATATTTAAATGGTGATAAATATTTTGTGATAAAATGCATTTTAGTTTCAAAGATAATATGTATTTAATGATTTGACTACTGTTAATATTGAATTAATTTGGTGTTCATAGTTTGATGATAACCCATAGTTATTCTGGAGGCAAATTAGATGACATGAAACAGGTATGCACTACATATACATATATTACATATATGATATATGTAAAGTCTTCCACACGTACGTTTGCTTATTTTGTGACTGCTCCCCGTACAACGTACTGATTAATACGTCCGTTTACTACCTTATCGACATCACCTGCTTACAGACTATTTTTACCCCCTTTTGTAAGGTACCGCCACTTCATAGTGAAGCGAGTGAGATGTAAAATATATATTCGTTCTTTTCTACATGGGAAAGTGATTGTCCGTATAGGTTGTCTAACTATAATATACTTAAACAATAATACTGATAAACGACTATTGTTTTACTTACCTCACACTGCGCTCCCCCCCACGGCTTGAAGCACCTACAAACCGACTTCCCCCCCATGACCACACACGTCCCGTTGTTATGACAGTTGCACCTCTCCGCGCACCCCTCCGGCGCGTCGTGCGTCCCATCGCAGAGATCCACTTGACAGCGCCGCCCTCCGTAGAACTTCGTACAAACACACTCCGGCTGCTTCGCCCCCATCCGACACGTCCCGCCGTTGAAGCAGTGCTGGTAGCACTTGTCCTGCTCGCACTTGTCGCCACCGTAGCCCGGCAGACAGCTGCACTTCACCCCCATGGCCGTCGGTACGGGCGTCCCGTTCTTGCCGCACACCGAGTTCTCGCAGTGGCGCCCCATGTAGCCCACGGGACACTTGCACGTGTCCTTGTGCTCGCCCTTGGCGCACACGCCCCCGTTCTCGCACACCAGCTGCGCGCAGTTCTGGCAGCGCGAGCCGGAGAAACCCGACGGGCAGTTGCACACGGGAATCCCCGGCTTGGGGATGAAGCACGTGCCGCCGTTGTAGCAACGACCTTCGCACACGTTCACCGGGGTCTCGCAGCGCTCGCCGGTCCACTGCGGCGCGCAGTTGCAGCGCAGCGGTGGCAGCGAGTCGGGGGACACCGGGACGGCGAGGTTCACGTAGCACATGCCCTTGTTCTTGCAGTGCTGGGAGCAGCGGTAGTGCTCGCAGCGGGACCCGGTGTACTCGACGGGACAGTGGCACTTGGGCGCCTGGCCCGGGGTCATCTTGCAGGTACCGGTGTTGCAGTTGAGGGGGCAATTGGGGGCGCGAGTTGAGACGGCCTTGCAGGTCTGAAAGCGAGACACAGTTATTATGATGTTGTGGTGTCCCAGTTTGAATTCAAACCAAATTTATCAGTGATGACTTGTACCATTGTTTAAGTATATTATAGTTGGACAACCTAATACAAATTTTACTTCGCCTAAATAGTGAGCTTTAGGACAAGGAATCCAGGGGGCGTGGGACAAATTTTTCGTCAACGCGCATTTTCACTACAGTGAGCCAACGTATTGGGTTTATTATACTCTAAATCAGATGGCGCCATCAAACATTAGCAAAGGCAAACACCCTTCACTCTGCTCTTATACGAGGAGTTATCCATAAATCCTTAATTAACATTGTTCCGTAAACAGTAATGTGTATAAACATATATGTACAAAATATGAAAATATACTTGACATAAAAAATATGAAGCAACGCGTTGTAACGTGATACGAAAGAATTGAATTTAAATGAATTTGACGCCTATTTTTATTTGACTATATCTGAAGACTGACAGAAACTTTCCAAGGGTTTTTAAACTGGTATAATTGTTTAGTTTTACAAGATTAAAGTAAAACAAGATTTTAAGTAAAATTTAGATTCGTGGTGTTACAAAAATATTAACACAAAATGAAAATAAATGTTCAAAGTAAATAACAGAATGACATAAACTTTCGGCGTTAACATTACAAATAATTACAAGAGAGAAAAAAACGCATTAAGAACTTAAGAGGCATGTTTGTAATATCGAGTTGTTAAAGGCTGTTTTGAAGACTGTTTGTTTCTATGAAAAACAATTGCTGTTATCGGACATTTTGGTAGATTTTGTTCCAAAAATACGAGATAACTAATTGTTTCTTGAACTAGTTTCCGTAACTTCTAAAATTTAAAAAGGATACGCCGTTCTGCTGTAATAAAATCTAGAATAAGGTCAAAATCACACTAATATTACATCTGATTTTGTTAACCACATGAATATAATTTACATTAAAATAAGTTACAGACATTGTTTGGAATGTTTATTATAGTTCGAAAACAAGATAAAATAAATAAATAAATAAAATGTGCAGTTTATAAACTTCAGAACTTTAGTATAAAAATAATTATGTTTGAAGCTTTATTTTGTCTGTTCGATTTTATTGGGTGTATTGGGCCCCTCTCGGGATATAACACCGACATCATTGCACTGGCGCAACGTTCTTCAACCGATGGGATGATTTATTACTTCCGTTATGCTGACACAGCGATTTGGTTTTCGGATTTTCGGCTAGATCTGCACATTTAACTCTTTGCGCACTGCACACTGACATAGAGTATTTTGTTCACGCGAGCATCAAAAATATTACGCCGAAAGCACTTCTTCAAGTGTTATTTTTTTTAAGATGTCATATTTGTCAGCGTTTCCAAAATTTTCTTCTTTGCACAGGTCAACTAATTTTTCGTAAACCGCATTTTAAAATTTTTGTTATTGTATTTTTTACTTTTTAATTTTCTAAGGCATGAAAAAATCCCTTACAGGTTTCTATGAATTTATTAACGAAATCAACTGATAACTTGCGCGCCATTTTGTGTTAATTAATACCAATAGTGATTATGATAATTTTATAATTATCATTTTAATGAAATTGTGTTCTTCACTTCGCGAACGACAGCAAACAATTTAAAATTACCGCTAGTCAAGCACCTGAAAATCCATCTCTCCCAAATATGTCTTTCTTGGCACGATTTGTAATCCGCACTCTCCCTCCACATGCAATTTTTCGTCGCCTGAGAACTTATTTGATCTACAGACCAAAGCACACTCAGGCCAATATCGGCTTTAAGCGATTTATCTATAAACCGATATTCGTTAGAGTTGATGTGATACACATCCACTACGAAGAACTAACCCATTTCGACCATTGGACTTTACAACGAATAAGTGAACAAAGTTCTTGAACATCTTAACGATTTAATACATAATGTTCCCGAATGACAAAAATTACATTTCAAATTGTATTATCAAATTACACCCTCCAAAATTTGTCACGAACAATGAAATGACGCAATCTCCAAATTTTACAATAGTAAAATTGTAGTTTCGCCCCGTTTACGGTTTATGCATCCGTGTCGAGTTTTCACCTTGGACGTCAAGATTTTTGGAAAAAAAATCAACATTTTCCAATTTATAATGTTATTTAAATTTTAAAAAGTAGAATAGTCCTGATCTTGTGATTTATACCTAAATACGCTATTGGGATTTTTCGGCTTGTCGATTTCTCGATTTTTCAACTATATGTGTCTCAATTTTTCAATATTTCAATTTTGGGCTTTTCCGATTCCTCCATTCTTTAAATTTTCTATTTCTCGATTTTTTTATTTTTCGATTTCTCAATCTTTCGATGTTTCAATGATACGATTTCTCAATTTTTGTCCTCTTCAATTTTACGGTTTTTAAATATTTCGATTTTTCAATTTTTCAAATTTTCACGTTTCTAAATTTTCAGTTTGCCGATTTCTAAAGTATTTTTTCTATTTGTCCATTTCTGGATTTCCTAAAGTTTCGATTTTTCACATCTTCAATTCTTCAATTTTTCGATTTTTTAAGATTACGATTTTTCAATTTTGCTTTTTTAGATTTTCAATTTCTTAGTTTTCCAATTTTTTAATTTCTCAATTTTCTGAATATTTCTTTCAGTTATGAGATTTTTCAATATTTCAATTTTTCGACTTTTCGATTTTTGAATTGATGGATTTTTTTTTGATTTCTGGCTTTTTTCCTTTTTAGATTTTCAATTTATTGTAAACTTTAGATTTTTCAATTCTGGGACTGTTTAATGCTTCGATTTCTCAATTTTTAAACTTTTCGATGTTTTAATATTTCATTTTTTAAAATTCTAGGTTTTTCGATATCTCGAGTTTTCAGTTCTTCTATATTTCAATTTTTCAATTTTTCGATTTTTTGAATTTTAATTTTTGATTTTCCAGTTTTTCTTTTTTAAAATATTTCGATTATTCAATTTTTTAATTTCTCAATTTATCGAATTCAGATGTTTCGTTGTTTTGATTGTTCAATTTCTCAATTTTTAACTTTCCTTTTTGGCTTCCGCCTCCTCAATTTCTCGATCCTCCGATTTTTCGATTTCTCGAAGTCTCAGTTTTTGAATTTTTCGATGTTTCGATTTTTGGATTTCTCGGTTTTTCGATTTTTTTCTTTTGAGCTTTTCAATTTCTGGATTTTCCAATTTTTCAATGCCCCGATTTTTCAATTTTTCAAATTGAATTGGATCTCTCGATTCTTAAATTTTGCGATATTTTAATTATTCATTGTTTTAAATTTTAGTTTTTTCGATTTCTCGATTTTTTGACTTTTCAGTTCTTCAGTATTTAAATTTTTGAATTTTTTCAAATTTTTGCGTTAAATTTTCAGTTTTCTGACTTCTCAATTAATCTATTTTTGATTTTCCCACTTCTCAAAGTTTCGATTTTTCAGTTCTTCAATTCTTCGATTTTTCGACGTCGCTTTATTGGTTTGTCGATTTCTCAATTTTTGGATATTTCTTTCAGTTTTGATATTTTTCAATACTTCGATTCTTTCAGTTTTCGACTTCTAGATTTTTCTATTTTTTATTTTTGGATTTTCAGTTTCTTGTTTTTTATTTCAGTTTCTCAATTTTTCAACTTTTTCATATTTTAATTTTTAAATTTCTAGATTTTTCGGTTTCTCGAGTTTCCAGTTCTATATTTTAATTTTTTAAATTTACGAATGTTTAAATTTTTTGAGATCTCAATTCATTGAGATTCGGATGTTTCGATGTTTTGATTATTCAATCTCTCGCTTTATCAATTTCTCCATATTTAAGTTTTCGATTTTTCGATTTTGGCCTACTTCGGTTTCTCAATTTTTTGATTTTTCGACTTCTCGATTTTTCGACTCCTCGATTTTTTTTGTCTTTTGATTTTTCGATTTCTCGATGTCTCAATTTTTGAATTTTACAATGTTTCGATTTTTCGATTTGTTGGTTTTTCGATTTTTTGCTTTTCGGTTTCTCGATTTTTCGATGTTTCGATTTTTGATTTATCCGATTTTTCAATTCTCCAATTTTTTAAATTCTCGACTTCTCGATTCGTTGATTTTTCAGTTTTTCGATTATTAAATTTTAATTTTTTTTTTTTTTTTGATTTTTTGATGTTTGGATTTCTCCATTTTTCAGTTTTAGGATATTTTAACTTTTCAATGTTTTAAATTTTAGATTTTTCGATTTTTCAGTTCTTCAATATTTTTTTATTTTTCAAATTTTGACGTTTCTGAATTTTTAGTTTTCGGATTTCTCAATTAATCTATTTTTTTATATTCCCATTTCTCCACTTCCTAAAGTTTCGATTTTTCAGTTCTTCAGTTCTTCAATTTTTCGATTATTCAGGTTTTTGATTTTTCAATTTTTCGATTTTTAAGTTTGCGATTTTTAGACTCTGCTTTTTTGACTTTTCTGTTTCTCAATTTTAACTTTTCAATTTTTAAATTATTAACTTTATTCGATTTTTTGAGTTTTCAGTTCTTCTAAATTTCAATTTTTCAATTTTCCGAATTTTTAAATTTTCGATTGTCCAATTTTTTTTTATTTTTCGATTTTCCAATTTTTCGATGTTTCGATTTTTGAATTAACCGATTGTTCAATTTCTCGATTTTTAAATTTTAAATTTTCCAATTTTTATTTTTTTGATTTTTTTATGTTTCGATTTCTCGATTTTACAATTTTCCCATATTTGAATTTTTCAGTGTTTTAAATTTTCGATTTCGAGGATTTACTGTGTTACAGTAGTCATCAGTCATTACTCATCAAGAACGATTATTGCTGTGCGTTAAAATGCCTACATACTAGGCTGTTTTAAGTCTGCTAGATATAATTTTTGCAATTTTAAATTTATTTCTTGATGTCTAAATCGTATATATTTAAATGGTGATGAATATTTTGTGATACAATCTTAGGATAAAATGCATTTTAGTTTCAAAAATAATATGTATTTAATGATTTGACTACTGTTAATAAAAAAAATACGTAAGAAGATGTTCATATTGAATTAATTTGGTGTTCATAGTTTGATGATAACCCATAGTTATTCTGGAGGCAAATTAGATGACTTGTTACTTATTAATTAAAGTAGTGGTCGTTTAATTTCGTATACCTTTAAAGTGGACGAAGGGACGCATATTTGTTAGCCATGCAGTTCATGGATAATAAGTATACCGCGAAAATATTAAATTTTTTTTCTTTAACCTTGAAACAGGTATGCACTACATATACATACATATATTACAGTAAAGTCTTCAACACGTACGTTTGCTTATTTTGTGACTGCTCCCCGTACAACGTACTGATTAATACGACCGTTTACTACCTTATCGACATCACGTGCTTACGGACTATTTTTACCCCCTTTCGTAAGGTACCGCCACTTCATAATAGTGAAGCGAGTGAGATGTAAAATATATATTCATTCTTTTCTACATGGAAAGTGATTGTCCGTATAGGTTGTCCAACTATAATATACTTAAACAATGCTTGTACTTACGAGATTGGCCTTGACGTAGCCGTCCGCACACGTACAAGTTGCTGTGAGAGGACTTATGAGACAGAACTCGGTGGGGTGACAAAAATCGATACATGTGTTGTTAATGGCTTGGTCTTGCTTCTGTTCGTGTAGAATCAAAATGTCGGCGATTCGGGTCAATCCTTGCGACAGATGGGTGATATTCCCTGTCCCGAACTTGTTCATTCGAAGCACATCGTGCTTTTGGTACGTCGTCACGAAGAGATAATTTTCGAAGATTTCAATCTTGTATGGTTTCGTATCTGAAAATATTTATAAATCTTGTATCCACCTCTGCAAGTTATACACTTACCTTTATCAAAGTGTCTAACCACGTGCCGATCCGTACCATCGAATTTCACGGTTTCTACAGTTAAACTCTTGAGGTCCGACCAATACAGTCGCTTGGTGGTATAATCAATGGCTAAGCCAGTTGGATAGAGGATAGCTGAACCAATCAAAATTCTTCGTTTGTTGCCATCCATATGCGCTGTCTCGATCCTTGGTGCCGGCCCCCAATCGACCCAAAATAGCACGCCCTCTTGTGGCGACACCACGATGTCTCTCGGTTGTTGCATCTCACCACTCAACAAAGTGTACATATACTGGCCATCGACAGTAGCAACCAGAATCCTCACACCATCCGTAATATACAACCTTTTAGCCACCCAGTCCACACTGATACCTCTCGGGTCATTCAATCCACTGATGATAGTTTTAACAGACTCGGAATCCCTCTTCACTCTACTATCGTTCAAGTGAAGGAACACACTCTGTATTCTTTTGTTCTGGTGGTCGGTCCAAAAAGCAATCGACTCCTTTTTATCATAGAGAATGTCTACAGCGTCCACTTTATAACCCGGAGCCGTAGCCAACGTCTTACTTCTCATTTTATTGCTATCTCCAGGTTTATACGGCGACATCAACCTCAACTCGGCCTCCGATACCAAAACCAAATTCGCCCAATCACCGTCAGCCACGCACACCCCTCCTTTTATATGCGTATACCCCGGCAGACATTTACAAACCGTCATGTTGTGCTTCGTCTCGATACAAATCTGCGAACACGTATTCCACTGACAAGTCGAATTATTACAATTGAGTTCGTCGCTGTTATCGTCGCAGTCGTTCTTCCCGTCGCACCGCAACTTATTCATGACGCAGTGACCATTCTTGCAAGCGAATTGATCCGATGAACACAAACCGTGCCGTCTGCAGATGTGCGGATCTTCGTCGCTACCATCCTCACACTGGGGGTGTCCATCACACAGGAAATTCGTAGGAATACACATGTGGTTCTTGCAGCGGAAACGTCCAGGTAAGCACCCCACCAGAGAGCAAAACTGCTCGTCCGACCCGTCTTCGCAGTCGTTCTGGCCGTCGCAGCGCCACTCTTCGTTGATGCACAGCCCGCTCTGACACTTGTAGCCGTTGTCGGGGCAAGTTCCGCTGCAGTTAGCTTCGTCGGAGCCGTCAGCACAATCAGCCTCGCCGTCGCACTTCCACTCCAAATAGATGCACACCTGGGGGTTAGCGCACTGGAATTCGTTGTGCTTGCAGTGGATGTGGCAGTTGGCCTCGTCGGAGCGGTCCTCGCATTGGAATTCACCGTCGCATTTCTGGGAGCCGCGGATGCACCTAGAAACGACGCATGAAGTCAACATTAGGTTGTGTCGTTAACTTGTGCGGTGACGGTGCTACATTTAATTCCTTTATTTCCTGAGATTTCTGCTAAAGTTTTTTAAGGAAATTGGTGAACTGAGTGATACATAGCATAGTACGTCGACACCCCCTTAGGTGGGGTCGGTGAGTGACCTATACTCGAAAATCTTTATTTTACTAATTTTCTTCATATTACCTTGATTTTTATTAACAGTTTTTTCGAATACACTCCTATCGCTATCTGACCCTGTAGGGGGGATAGTGTGATTTATCAGCACTACGTTTGTTAGTTTATTGAATTTGAGCGATGGCAATCAAATGTACTAAGTGCAACCGTACTATCACTCGGGCTGAAAATCATTTATCATGTAAAGCATGCAAATTACATTTTCATTGCGACCGTGTGACGATTGATGAGGATTCTTACAATAGGTTGAAAGAACTAGGTAAACTTAATAATTGGTTCTGTGCATTTTGTTCAATTTCTCTGGTTTCTGCCGACAATCTAATGTGGTCAATCCAGAAACTAATACCAGTGATCCTAAATTAACACCTGAGACTATGAAAATGATTGATACCATTGTAGCCAAACATATAAAGCCATTAATAGACGCCATTTCTGAACTAAAAATGACAATTCAGGACTTATCTACTGAAAACTTGAACCTACGCAATGAAATCGGTAAATTAAATAACATCTTACCTTGTGAACAAACCAATTTTGCTGATATAGATGCACAGAATGCAAAAACTTCTTACCGGAATGTAGTTACGAAGAATTCCCAGAAGACGATAATAGTAATGCCAAAAGACGATAAACAGTCTACTAATAAAACAAAATTTGATGTTATGAAAAGTGTTGATCCTCTTAAAGACGTCAACATTGGAAAAGTTAAGAATTTGAAAGATGGCGGTTTGTTATTAAAATGTGATAATTCCTGCAATTTTAAACAAATTGCCCAAGATAAACTATCTGCATCTTATGAAATTCGTGAGGTCAAATCAGTAGGACCTAGGATTCGAATCGCCGGTATCCCTGATTATATAGAATCAAAAGATGTATCTTCCTATATGAAAAAACAAAACGAATCCATATTTGATGAGAGCTCCACTTGTAATTTACTTAAATTCAGTCCAATAAAAAAAAATAATACGGTCTTTCAAGCAGTTTTTGAAGTTGACTTAATAACATATAAAAAAGCGTTAAGTTTAGGTCATTGCCTTATTGGTTTAAAAGGTTGTTCTATTTATGGCGCCATAGATATCACAAGATGTTATAATTGTAATACCTTTGGCCACTCTCAGAAATATTGTAAAAATACGGTTTCTTGTCCTCGTTGTGGTGGTAATCACGGTCTTAAGGATTGTAATTCAGATACAGATTCATTTACTTGTGTAAATTGTAATAATCTAAACATTAAAAATAAAAACAGTGAAATTAACGTTAACCACGCGGCCTGGGATTATAGCAAATGCGGGGCACACCAGCAAGTCCTCCAAAAAATAAAACAAGATTTATTTGGACTGCCAATATAGCAATCACGTGATGATTCCAGGGTAACTTCCTTGCCTCGTTCAAGTTCATCTAATCAATTTTTGTCAGATAATTCTGGCAATATCTGCATAAAAAATTCCAAAGTACTTTTTATTTACTATCAAAATGTTAGAGGCCTTAACACCAAATTAACTGACGTATACAATTCACTTGCTGGTTGTCACTATGATGTAGTTGCTTTTACTGAGACATTCTTGAGTGAAACTGTTCAAAATTCTGAAATCTCCGGTCCTAATTATGTTATTTATAGAAGTGACCGCAAATATTCTTCTCTTGATTGTGAAAGAGGAGGAGGTGTTCTTCTTGCTGTAGATTCAAATTTAAGATCTCACAAATATAAACTTGACAGTTTAAACTTTAGTGCGTTACCAGTAATTGATGTATTGGTTGTAAAAATTTGCATGGCTCATGGTACTCTTAATGTTATTGTAGTTTATGTTCCTCCAGCCCCAAGAGTTAGTGCCGGTGATGTAGAACTGTTTTTTGAACTTCTTTCCTCATTATGTTTATTACTAGGTAATAACATAATCATTCTTGGGGACTTCAATATACCAAGTTACTCTGCTTATTTAGTAAATTCTCAATTAAAAGATTCAAAAACTAATTCACTTCTTTACTTCTTAAATTTAACTAATTATCATCAATATAATTATATTACAAATAATTACGATAGATTATTAGATCTAGTTTTATCAGATAAGCAGTGTGTAATTGTGAAAGCTAGTGACGTATTACTTAACGAAGACGCCCATCACCCGAGTTTAGAAATTGAAACAAACTGCCTCAAGTTGTGTCATGGTAAATATTTGTATAATGGCAATTTTAAAACCTATAATTTCAGAAAAGCTGATTTTTATCAGTTGTACAGCTTACTCCTGAACACAGACTGGTCCTTTATTACTAGCTGTACTGATGTAGACATTGCGTGCTCCTTATTTTACTCCAAATTAAACAACATATTTGAGTTGTCAGTTCCTAAAAGCAGACGATTCAAAAAACGTCAGTACCCACCATGGTTTAATCGCCACATTATTCAAAAACTTAAGCTAAAATGGAAACTTTGGGCTATTTATAAACGTAGTAATGATGTTGAATCCTATAATAAATTCAAAAATTTAAGAGCTGACATTAAAAATGAGATCAAACTGTCCCATATCGCATACATGCAAAACATCGAAAGCAATATTCCTTCTGATCCGAACCTTTTCTGGCAGTATATTAAGAGCTTTAAACAAGAAAATCTCATACTGAATTCGATGACGTACAACAATAAAATTATAAACGGTCCTATAAACATCGTTAATTCATTTGCTGACTTTTTTTCAGCAATCTTTTATCCCATCTGATCCTTCTGGTGCAATGTTCTCCTATCACTGTACCTCAGTTTTTAGAAATTTTTTCAGTGAAGAAGAGGTTCTCCACATTCTGCAAAAGGTGAAAAACAAAATGACATCTGGGCCTGACGGCATCCCGTCTTTTCTATTAAAGGATTGTGCAAGCGTCCTCGCTTTTCCATTAATGATTATCTTTAATCTTTCGATTAGTTCTGGAATATATCCTACCCTTTGGAAAGAGTCATACGTTTTTCCTGTCTTCAAAAAAGGAAACAAAAGCGAAATAGAAAATTATCGGCCCATAACGTTGCTGTGTAACTTTTCTAAAGCATTTGAAACATTATTACATAATGCTATTGTTCATCATATTGGAACATATATCACCCCATTACAGCATGGCTTCTTCAGAGGTAGATCTATTGAGACTAATCTTTGTTGTTTCACTCAATTTGTTGCAGAATCATTTGATACTGAAGCCCAGGTTGATTGTATTTATACCGATTTCTCAAAGGCATTTGACAGATTAGACCACTTTAAGCTACTAAATAAATTAAGCTCTTTCGGTATATCAAATGCATTTATCAAATTATTCAAATCCTATTTAATTGGTAGAACGCAAACTGTCACTCTTAGTGGTTTCCACTCGGATCAAATACATGTCACCTCGGGGGTTCCACAAGGGTCAATTCTTGGGCCTTTGTTTTTCATTATGTTCATTAATGATATAGTATCTAATCTGGATTCTCAATGTCTTTTATATGCTGATGACCTGAAAGTATTTAGAAAAATATCATCTTTTTCAGACCACCTTAAACTTCAATCTGATTTAAGAAAAATTGAAGTAATGTGCCTCCAAGAAGGGCTTCCTCTAAATATTTCGAAGTGTGGTGTAATGACGTTCTCATTGAAACATAATAATAGCATTTATATGTACCATGTAAGTGACTCGGCGCTTCAACGGTTTGTCACAATTAAAGATTTGGGAATCATTTTTGATACAGAGTTATCATTTTCAGAACATTATGATTCAATAGTAGCATCAGCGCTAAGAGCTTTAGGATTCATAATTCGAACCAGCAAGCATTTTCAGAACAACAAGACTCTCCTCTGTTTATATTTTGCATTCGTGAGATCAAAATTAGAATACGGTTGCACTATTTGGTCTCCCGGTTATAATACGCACTGCCTCAAAATAGAGAATTTACAACGCAAATTTTTAAAATTTCTCCACTTTAGAGCATTCGGTTTTTATCCGGACAGAGGTTTTCCTCATGATACTCTGCTATCCATTTTCTCAGTTCAGAGGTTAAAAATGAGACGTGTTATTTTGTCTTTATGTTTTCTCTTTAAGCTTGCAAATGGTAAAATTGATTCAGACGTACTATTGGGAAAATTGTCTTTCTTGGTACCTAGACTTAATACCAGAGTACCATTTGCAAGCTTAAAGAGAAAACATTTCTGAATCCAGAATGTTTTTACGTTGAATTTTCAAGAATAAACGTACATATGTTTTCACCTATTGTCACTATGTGTCGTAACTATAATTTATACAGAAATCATTTTGACCTATTCAACAGCAGTATCCGCCAAATTAAAAGTTTGCGTTTATAATTTTGAATTAATTTTCTCTCTTTTTTTTTTTTTCTTAATTCTTTCCCATCCTTATAAATGGTTTATCTGTTAGGATGGCTAAATAATAATAATAATAATAATAATAATAATAATAACATTATAACAACGTTGTCGTGCTTACCTTCCGTCGCCGCACCGAAACTCCGACTCGGAGCAGTTCCTCGGCACACACCCCACCTCGTCCGACCCATCGCCACAATCATTGTCATAGTCGCACCGCCACCGCCCCGGAATGCACTTATTATTCTTGCACTTGAAGTACGTCGGCTCGCAAGTGTGGAACTCCGGCTGGCTGCACGACGCCGGCTCGTCCTCGTTATTGGCGCAGTCGGGGTCCCCGTCGCATCTCCAGCTCATCGGAATGCACCGACCCGAGCTGCACCTGTAGTGCTGCGGCGAACACGTCCTCGAGTGGCAGTCCTGCTGCTCGTCGGAGTTGTCCCCGCAGTCGTTGTCGGTGTCGCAGACCCACACCGCCGGTATGCACTTGTCGTTGGCGCACTTGAACTGGTTCGGCGGACACGTCGCCGGAGGACACTGGGCTTCGTCGTCGCCGAAGGGACAGTCCGGGTGCTTGTTGCAGCGCAGCTTCGACGGAATACACCTGGGGGCGACCGTGCTGTTGCCCTTACAACGGAACTGCGTATTGAGACAAGTGTAGTTCTGGCAGTCCTTCTCGTCGGAGTTGTCTTCGCAGTCGTCGTTGCCGTTGCAGAGGTCCGAAGGGTGGATGCAGACGCCGTTGGAGCACTGGTACTGGCCCGGCAGGCACGTGAAGGCCCTACAATCTGCGGGCTCGTCGCTGCCGTCGCCGCAATCATCCTGAGTGTCGCATTTCCACCAGAACGGTATACACTTATAAGTGTATTTACACTCGAAGTGCGCCGACGTGCAATTCGCCACGCAGCTCCGCCCATCACTTCCGAGGATGTAGTTCTCGGGACACACACACTTGTAGAAGGGCTCCGTCGGGGTTAGTAGACACAAAGCGGAACAATTGGCTTTCTCGCAAGGGTTGGTCACGTTCGGTTGCTTCAGAGGGTGCACGACCCGAATATCCATAGGTCGGTGCACCGTCGAGTGTAACTTCAAACACTGGTCACCCCTGTGCTTGTGGCACCTCTCGATGGACTTGGTCTCCCAGTCCGTCCAATAAATGAAGTCCTCCCAGATGTCGATGGCGAAGACGTGGTGCAACTGCAGGTTGGGATTCTTCTGGCGACTCATCACGATTTTCATGTTGTTGCCGTCGAGGTCCGATACTGCGATGTAGTCTTCGCGGGCGTCCGCCCAGAAGAGCTCCGACGTTTCGTACGAGATGGTGAGGGCGTTGGGCCAGCCGAGGTTGGAGTTGACGATGACGTGGGGCGAACTGCCGTCCATTCCGGCTTTGCCGATGTGGGCGTGGGTGCCCCAGTCGGTCCAGTAGAGGTAGCCGCGGACGGGGTCCAAGCAGACGGCGCGGGGCTCCTCGAGGTCCTTGGAGAGGAGCACGCGGCGGTAGCGGCCGTCGAGGGAGGAGACTTCGATGGTGTCTAAACCCTGCAGACGAGAAATAGTGACATTGTAGTGTCCCAGTTCAGATTAAATTTCAAAACACACCGTACGGTTCCATTTTGTTGAGGATCACGCTCATGTTATCACTAGAGAGCGGATTTCTAGGTTTAATGCTTTTTGTGAAAAATGTAAGCACTTCAAAACTTTTTTATATCTGTAACTATGATACAATTTGGAGTCATTTGACACATTTTTTTTAATGCTTATTTGCTTTTTTTCAATTTTATGCATATTTTGTTCAAATGCCGGACTTGTCGGGATGACAAAGTACTTGTTAGTAGGCCTATCGTATCGTATGCATTTTACCGGGACTTGACCATTGAAGTACACTTTCTCAAAACCCTTTCTGTGAATAGGTTCCGGTCGTTTAGGTAATAAAATTTTATTATAGGATTGGAAAAATACTCCATAGATTTTATGACTTTAAATCCTTACTTCCGTTGATAATGAATTAAAGCTTTTAACCAGATGTTCTTTTTCGGCATTTTGCGGCAAGACCGTTGAAGATTTTCTAGAAAAAATTGGTCTAAAGAGTTTAGACAGTACTTCCCTCGCTGTCGGAAACTTGACGACTGCATGCCTATTGTGTTTTTTTTTCTCATTACATTTTTGTAGTGGGAATTTAAAAAAAAATTGCGATGACGTCAACAACATTTTTGCAAGGACACGTATATCAGTTGGGATAGATGTAGTGTAATACTAAGAATAAAATTATTATATTCTCAAATTTTCGGGAAAATGAATTGGGTCGTTTTGAATATTGATTTGTAATAATCAATAAAATAACGAAACAATTTACTCACGTATACGTATCAGAGGCAACTGAAAATCGTGTATGTATAAACATTCTTAATTTAAGATGACAGGCGTAACAGCATACGTGAGAGTCAAACAGAGAAACTGTAAACAAAACGACCATCGGTTTTATTGCTTCGACTTCCGCTTATTATATAAAACATTGGGTTTTATTTTAATTCTTGACGGTGAAATTCACAATTGGTTGATTATAAACATGTCGATTTCACATTCGCGGAACCAAGTGAGCGCATAAAACAAATGCAGGTCTGTAATGTTAAAGTCGATGTAAATAAGCGTGCTACCCTTATGTTTCAACCGAGTTTTTCCTTTAACAAATTTTGTGTCTACCAAATTGGGTTGGTTGGGGTGTAATACTAATAATAAGTGTTGCCTTTAATTTAATCAATAAAATAAATTGACTTCATTAATTTTTTTGAACCACCTCTTAAGAAAATCTAAAAAATATGAATGGAATGATAAATCACAAGTACAAACTCATCATATTTTTTGCATTTTAGATAGGATTTATTCAGCAAAATTTAAGGGTGACGTCATCAATTTTTTTAGGAGGGATGAACAAATACATTTTGAACAAAAGTTTACCATGCTTATAATAATTTTAAAATATTCCCAAGATTTCAAAGCATTCGGTTTTGTAATTCCTGATTAAATCGATAAAATAAATTCACGCCTTCATTAATTTTTTTGAGTCACCCTGCATATGCAAATCCAAAAATATGAATGGAATGACAAATCACAAGTACAGACTCATCATATTTTGTACATTTTAGATACGATTTATTCGGCAAACTTTTGAGCTGACGTCATCAGTTTTTTGTAGAAGATAACCAAATATATTTTGACTAAAAATTTATTATGGTCTTTATAACCTTAAAACATCTGCAAGATTTCAAAGCATTCGGTTTTGTAGTTCCTGATTAAATCAATAAAATAAATTTACGCATTCATTAATTTTTTTGAGTCACCCTGTATATGCAAATCGAAAAAATTTGAATGGAATGATAAATCACAAGAAGAGACTCACCATATTTTGTACATTTTAGATAGGATTTATTCAGCAAAATTTTGTGGTGACGTCATAAATTTTTTAGGGGGGACGACCAAATACGTTTTGATCAAAAATTTACCATGCTTATGATAATAATTTTAAAATATCTTCAAGATTTCGAAGCATTCGGTCTTGTAGTTCCTGAGTAAATCAGTAAAATAAATTTACGCTTTCATTTATTTTCTTGAATCACCCTGTATATGCAAATCCAAAAAATATGAATGGAGTGATATATCACAAGTACAGACTGATCATATTTTGTACATTTTAGATATGATTTATTCGGCAAATTTTCGAGCTGACGTTATCAAGTTTTTGGAGGGGATAAGCAAATATATTTTGACTAAACATTTATTATGCTCTTTATAACCTTAAAACATGTGCAAGATGTCAGAGCATTCCGTTTTGTAGTTCCTGATTAAATCAATAAAATATATTTACGCATTCATTAATTTTTTTGAGTCACTCTATATATGCAAATCCAAAAAATATGAATGGAATGATAAATGACAAGTACAGACTCATCGTATTTTGTACATTTTAGATATGATTTATTCGGCAAACTTTCGAGCTGACGTCATCAAGTTTTTGAAGGGGATAAGCAAATATATTTTGACTAAACATTTATTATGCTCTTTATGACCTTAAAACATCTGCAAGATTTCAGAGCATTCGGTTTTGTAGTTCCTGATTAAATCAATAAAATATATTTACGCATTCATTAAATTTTTTGAGTCACCCTGTATATGCAAATCCAAAAAATATGAATGGAGTGATAGATCACAAGTACAGACTCATCATATTTTGTACATTTTAGATATGATTTATTCCACAAACTTTTGAGCTGACGTCATCAAGTTTTTGGAGGGGATAAGCAAATATTTTTTGACTAAAGATTTATGATGCTCTTTATAGCCTTAAAACATCTGCAACATTTCAAAACATTCTGGTTAGCAGACTAAAAATTAAATTTCAAAATGTTGTTTTATAATTTTGATTTTTTTCCAAAAATCTGGACGTTTCGGGTGAAAAGTCGATTCAGAGTTGTAAACTACATGTGTAGGACTATGTTATTTTATACAATTGAAAACCCATTTACTATGTACAATTTTGAAGTGACGTCATCGCATTAGTGGTGGGGATGATTAGACAAATTTTGGTTAGCGTTTTACCATCTACATGATATTCTTAATATAAGTACAAAATTTCACAACAATCGGTCGAGTACTTTCGGAGATTATTTGTCTAATAAAAATCCGGGACGGCAGACGGACAGACGGACGGACAGACGGACAGACAGACAGAAATGGGACACCTATTTCTTCGTCTTCTAGGGGTCATGAAAGATCGAGAAAACGTAAAAGTAGAGAGTCGGCCGACGGACTCGATTACAATACTTCCTTTGCTTATGCTCGGGAAGTAAAAATGCAGGTTTCGGTGTTCTTTCCGACGTTGCTCGTGTTTTACAAGGCCAGAAGGTGGAAAATTTGGAGTTGGATTCAACATTAGTTGAAAAATTCAAATTTGCGCCAACAACGAGTGTGGACGTTGAACGCACATTCTCCAATTTTAAACACATTTTAAATGATCGGCGAAAAAATTTTACAGTGGACAACTTGGAACATAGTACAATCATAAATTGTTTTAAAGAAAACTCAAATACGTGTGAAAAATATAAAGTCTAGGATTATTGTAATAATATTTTATCCAAAGTTCTAAGAAGTGTTCTTTGATTTGTAATATAATTATGTTTTTAATGCTTTTTTGCTTAAAATAAAACTTTTTTATTGAAACTGTTGTGCTTATTTAAGCGCTTGTTCTTAATTTTTTTGTGCTTATAAATCCGCTCTCTAGTGATCACATTAATTTTTTTTCTAGTTCTTACCTTATCGCACCAGTATAGATTTCTTCCGACCCAATCTACTGCCAACCCATCGGGATTTTGTAACGTCGGTGAATGCAAAACCTGTATCTCGCTGGAGACGTTCTTGTAGTCACACAGTCTCTTAATGGAGCTACCCATCTGGGTCACGTCCGACCAATAGATGCACTTGGAGCTCCAATCATAATCCAGAGCTACCGCATTGGTTAAATTGTGAGCCAACAGCGTCGATTGAAAGCTAAAGTCGAACTCTCTTATATAGTAGCGATTGGCTAGAATCAGAGTCACCGGAACGGAGGAATTGGCACCACAGCTTTTCCCGTCTACGTGAAGAATATACCCAGAGGCGCAACTACAATGATACGAGCCTCTCGTATTGTAACACAACTGACTACAAGGTCTGTCTAGACACTCGTCGACGTCTTCACACAAATTCACGTTCTTATGACTGACCTTATACCCAGTGTAACACCCACATTCGTACCCAATGGGTTTGTCAGTACAGTTTTGCTCACATGGTGGTATCTCTGATGTACACTCGTTGATATCTACAAATCATAAAACTGTATTACCACCCCCGTATTTTTCCACTTTTCAACTTACGACAACTAGCTTCATCACTGTAGTCACCACAGTTATTCTCGCCGTTACACAGCAGGGTGTCGTTAATACACACCCCATCCCCGCAATGGAACCACCCTTCTCCCTTACAATAATCATCGTCATTGTGACATTCCTGCCCTTCGTCGCTCCCGTCACCACAGTCGTCGTTCCCGTCGCACTTCAACAACTCCATAAGACACTTCCCGTTCCCGCAAGTGAACTCCTCGTTAGTACACTTCTTGTGGCACTCCGGGGGCTCGTCGCTGCCGTCATTGCAGTCCTTGTCCCCGTCGCAATAATACATTTTGTTGATACAAACCCCATTTGTGCACTGGAAGTGCTCAGCAGTGCAAACCCCACACCCCTGGTCTTTGTGCTCGTCGGCGCCGTCTATACAATCCGACTCCCCATCGCACAGCCAGATCTTGGGAATGCACCTTCCAGTGCTGTTGCAGTGGAAGTCGCCGGGGTCGCACTCGCGCATTCGGCAATGCTTGCTCTCGTCGGAGTGGTCCGTGCAGTCGGGGTGACCGTCGCATTGCCAGCTCATGGGGATGCATTCGCCGTTGTCGCACCTGAACTGGTCGCTGCGGCAACGGTGCTCTGGAAAAAGGGAGCGGTTATGGGAACTCGACGACCGACGGGTACTTACTGCAGTTGATTTCGTCGCTTTGGTCGTGGCAGTCGTCGAAGCCGTTGCAGTGCCAAGAAAGGGGGATGCACATGAAGTTGGAGCACATGAACTGGTCGTGGGGGCAGCGGCCTTCCACCACCCCTAAAGAAAAAAAATGGAAACAAGTGTGCCATTAAAGACTAAAATTGCAATTTTATGCACACTCACTGCAATTCTCTTCGTCCGAACTGACTCCTGTCAGCGTCTTCGCGTCATGACAATCATCCTTCCCGTCGCACCGTTTCTCAAGACTAATGCAAGTCCCATTCGAGCACTGGAACTCCCGAATGTCGCACCTCTTCTTGTGTCCCGTGCAGTTCATCTCGTCCGACATATCCCAACAATCATTCTCGTTATCACAAAACCAGTCCTTATGTATACACGCCGTAGTGTTCGCACAATTCATCAAATTAACATCGTGGAAGTCCAAACTACAGTTGCGCCTCTCTGAAATTCGGAACATTACACGCGCCCCCGCGTCACCCACTCAAACTCACCGCATCCCATCTCGTCGCTCGCATCCTTGCAATCCTGGTCGTTGTCGCAGCGGAACTTCTTCAAAATGCACTCGCCGCTGCCACACCGGAAGTGATCCTCCTCCGAGCACGAGCAGTTCTGCTCGTCGCTCGAATCCCCGCAGTTGTCCACGCCGTTGCACTTCTCCCCCGCCGGAACGCACCTCTTGTTGTTGCACTGGAACCACCCTTGAAGACACGTCCTGTGCCCACAATACCCAGGTTCCTCGTCCGACTTGTCCGTGCAGTGCGCTATACCGTCGCACGTCACTCTGAACGGCACGCACCCGCCGTCCGAGCACCGGAAACTGTCGTAGGTGTCGCAGGCCTTCGAATTGTTGTAGCACCTCCTGCCGTCCTCCCCCAGGATGCGGCCTTCCAGACACAGGCACTGCACGACCGCCGACGCGTTCAACGTGCAGATCTCCTCGCAGCCGCCGTTGAGGTTGGCGCACGGGTGCGAGAAGCAATCGTCGGTGTCGTTGGCTATGGCCACGATGCCCATCGGTCTGTCGACGTAGCGCCGCAGCCAGACCACGTTCTGGCCGGTGAGTTTGTCGGCTCGCAGGACGGCGCGCAGCATCCAGTCGGTCCAGTAGATGTAGTCGCCGTAGACGGCGATGGCGAAGGGGTGCTGAGGGGTCACTTTGGCGAGGACGACGCGATTGGAACCGTCGTACTCGCAGCGCTCGATCTTGTCCAAGCGGGCGTCGCCCCAGTAGATCTTCTGGGATTTGTGGTCGAGGGTGAGGGCGTTGGGCATGCGGATGTCGGTCTTGACGATGGATTCCCGGCCGTAGCCTGCAACCGAAGACACTAGAATTGCGCCCAAGCAGCAGACTGTCGTCTAATTCACGTCAATTTTTGGTCATAACTCGTCGGCGACGTCATTCGCCCAAAAAATCACGTGAAAATGACGAGATTTTTATGACTTATTTCTGACGTCAAAAGGCCGTCCTTTCTTCGTCATTTTTACTTCCCGAGCGTAAGCAAAGGAAGTATTGTAATCGAGTCCGTCGGCCGACTCTCTACTTTTACGTTTTCTCGATCTTTCATGACCCCTAGAAGACGAAGAAATAGGTCTCCCATTTCCGTCTGTCTGTCCGTCTGCCGTCCCGGATTTTTATTAGACAGATAATCTCCGAAAGTACTCGACCGATTGTTGTGAAATTTTGTACTTATATTAAGAATATCATGTAGATGGTAAAACGCTAACCAAAATTTGTCTAATCATCCCCACCACTAATGCGATGACGTCACTTCAAAATTGTACATAGTAAATGGGTTTTCAATTGTATAAAATAACATAGTCCTACACATGTAGTTTACAACTCTGAATCGACTTTTCACCCGAAACGTCCAGATTTTTGGAAAAAAAATCAAAATTATAAAACAACATTTTGAAATTTAATTTTTAATCTGCTGACCAGAATGCTTTGAAATGTTGCAGATGTTTTAAGGCTATAAAGAGCATCATAAATCTTTAGTCAAAAAATATTTGCCTATCCCCTCCAAAAACTTGATGACGTCAGCTCAAAAGTTTGTGGAATAAATCATATCTAAAATGTACAAAATATGATAAGTCTGTACTTGTGATCTATCACTCCATTCATATTTTTTGGATTTGCATATACAGGGTGACTCAAAAAAATTAATGAATGCGTAAATATATTTTATTGATTTAATCAGGAACTACAAAACCGAATGCTCTGAAATCTTGCAGATGTTTTAAGGTTATAAAGAGCATAATAAATGTTTAGTCAAAATATATTTGCTTATCCCCTCCAAAAACTTGATGACGTCAGCTCGAAAATTTGCCGAATAAATCATATCTAAAATGTACAAAATATGATCAGTCTGTACTTGTGATCTATCACTCCATTCATATTTTTTGGATTTGCATATACAGGGTGATTCAAGAAAATAAATGAAAGCGTAAATTTATTTTACTGATTTACTCAGGAACTACAAAGCCGAATGCTTCGAAATCTTGAAGATATTTTAAAATTATCATAAGCATGGTAAATTTTTGATCAAAACGTATTTGGTCGTCCCCCCTAAAAAATTTATGACGTCACCACAAAATTTTGCTGAATAAATCCTATCTAAAATGTACAAAATATGGTGAGTCTCTTCTTGTGATTTATCATTCCATTCAAATTTTTTCGATTTGCATATACAGGGTGACTCAAAAAAATTAATGAATGCGTAAATTTATTTGATTGATTTAATCAGGAACTACAAAACCGAATGCTTTGAAATCTTGCAGATGTTTTAAGGTTATAAAGAGCATAATAAATTTTTAGTCAAAATATATTTGGTTATCTTCTACAAAAAACTGATGACGTCAGCTCAAAAGTTTGCCGAATAAATCGTATCTAAAATGTACAAAATATGATGAGTCTGTACTTGTGATTTATCATTCCATTCATATTTTTGGATTTGCATATGCAGGGTGACTCAAAAAAATTAATGAAGGCGTGAATTTATTTTATCGATTTAATCAGGAATTACAAAACCGAATGCTTTGAAATCTTGGGAATATTTTAAAGTTATTATAAGCATGGTAAACTTTTGTTCAAAATGTATTTGTTCATCCCTCCTAAAAAAATTGATGACGTCACCCTTAAATTTTGCTGAATAAATCCTATCTAAAATGCAAAAAATATGATGAGTTTGTACTTGTGATTTATCATTCCATTCATATTTTTTAGATTTTCTTAAGAGGTGGTTCAAAAAAATTAATGAAGTCAATTTATTTTATTGATTAAATTAAAGGCAACACTTATTATTAGTATTACACCCCAACCAACCCAATTTGGTAGACACAAAATTTGTTAAAGGAAAAACTCGGTTGAAACATAAGGGTAGCACGCTTATTTACATCGACTTTAACATTACAGACCTGCATTTGTTTTGTGCGTTCACTTGGTTCCGCGAATGTGAAATAGACATGTTTATAATCAACCAATTGTGAATTTCACCGTCAAGAATTAAAATAAAACCCAATGTTTTATATAATAAGCGGAAGTCGAAGCAATAAAACCGATGGTCGTTTTGTTTACAGTTTCTCTGTTTGACTCTCACGTATGCTGTTACGCCTGTCATCTTAAATTAAGAATGTTTATACATACACGATTTTCAGTTGCCTCTGATACGTATACGTGAGTAAATTGTTTCGTTATTTTATTGATTATTACAAATCAATATTCAAAACGACCCAATTCATTTTCCCGAAAATTTGAGAATATAATAATTTTATTCTTAGTATTACACTACATCAATCCCAACTGATATACGTGTCCTTGCAAAAATGTTGATGACGTCATCGCAATTTTTTTTTTTAAATTCCCACTACAAAAATGTAATGAGAAAAAAAACACAATAGGCATGCAGTCGTCAAGTTTCCGACAGCGAGGAAGTAAACTCTTTAGACCAATTTTTTATAGATTATATGATCAATTAGGGGGGTCGTCGTATTCTTTAAAAAGTGGCCTTCATAATGCTTAATTATATTTAGAGCAAAAAATACAACGGCTTAATTAGAAATACACCAAGGACAAGTTTTTTCATTCTAATAATTTCTAATAAAATAATTATTTCTAAAAACTTGTTTACTCTGGAAGTGTTATTTTGTAAGTACCTGCTTGGCAAATTATAAATAGAACATCTGGGGTTGAGCGAAAAGACCCTACGACACAAATAAAGTCATAAAAATTCTTTGTCCATTGTCCCTAAAACGGGACAAGGTTTTGAAGAATTCCTTCGTCGAATTTTGATTTTATAAAGACGTTTATAAAGTGATGACGGTTACCAAAAAAAATCGAGAGTGATTAATATTCAGTTTTATTAAATTTATTCTTATCCGTATTTACTATACAATACATCAGATGTTTGGGGTGTGCATTCGGACTTTCCCTTTTTTCGGTATTTATGTTTCTTGCACTTCACAGAGAAGCATTGCATTGCAATATTTCCAGTTGGTTCTCAACCACCGAAACTTTCTTAGTTTTGTGAAAATTTATGCCTTCATTGTGGGTTGTACTTATTTATACTAGGTAAGTTAATATCTAATAAAGTAATCATTTTAATTTTTACGTGTTTCTGTTATTTTTGATGACTGTACGGAGATAAAAAAAGCAATTTTTTCAGATAAGCTGGAAAGACCACCATTAATCACTGAAGATACTCCCACTGATTATGAAGAACTTACGGTGATTGTTTTTGAAAATGAGGCGCTATAAAATATTGCACAGGTATATTACTGCAATTTTTTATGAACTAATGCTTGAACATAATTTTATTCTAGATTTGAAACAAATACAAAACACATGTGCGAAACGAAAGAAATGCTAAAGGAAACGAGTGAAAAAATTTCCAACATGGAAACGTCATCAAATCTGACAACTGAAAAAGAAAACAAAAATAGAAGTTATGCCGCCAAAACCACAGCTAAACAAATTTTGACGAATTACAAGATTATGTTTGCATATTAGAACAAGCAGATTTCTTTGTAAGTTAAAAAAAATACAATGAATTCATATATACATATATAACATAATATTGCATATTATATACAGGTAGATGCCTGTAATACTACGATACTTTTTGGTAACTTGCTATTTACACATACATATTTTGCTTCATTGTGAAAAGTATTGACAACGAGATTTTCCTGATAGGCTGTACGTTTTTGTCAATGCAACCATTTTGCGATTATCCGTTAGATTCAAGTAAATTTAGCGTTTTTAAAATACAGAATTTGTCTTCTGCTTTAAGCTGTAATTCCTTAAATTTAATAATAGCCAAATGCTTGCTGTTGCCCATAGACGAAAAAATGATTGCATTTCCATTAATCCATGCACTCTAACGGGTTTTTCTTTTCAGTGCAATAAATTGAGGCAAACTTAAAAAACTTAGGTTATTGATATGATTGTTAAAACAGAACTAATTACATATACTGTAGTTTTACAGTGCATTTTCTATCAAGTAACTTCAACAATGCGATTCAATTGTCTTTTCCTTTTATTCTAGTTTTTTTTAATATTTCCTGTAAACAGATTTGTTTGTGTTTTTAAGACTGATCTATAGTTTATTATAGTTTTTTTTTTAATATTCTTTGTAACTAAATAGATTTCTTTGTGTTTTTAAAACAGATTTTTCTTTAAATAGCATATTTTATTGCAACGTTTATTTTTGATTATATATTGTACAACATCCTTTTTTTTGTTTATACTAATTATACTCGTAATTACCTGTATGTAGATTTGTTTATGTTCTTAGGAGTGGTTTATCTTTAATTTGTTTAATTGACATATTTTTTATTTGTTTATTGAAGTTGGTTGTACAAAATTGTAGTAAATTTAATTTTTTTACACTAATTTGTTTTAACTTTAATTAATATATACTTTGTTTTGGGCTTTACTTGGTGGTTATAACGAATTATAATATTTTATTTAAGCTAAACAATATAAAAAAATAAAATTATTTCAGCGTTTTATTTATTGCATATTTTTTTCTAAAAATCAAAATATAAAAAATTGGTCTAAAGAGTTTAGACAGTACTTCCCTCGCTGTCGGAAACTTGACGACTGCATGCCTATTGTGTTTTTTTTCTCATTACATTTTTGTAGTGGGAATTTAAAAAAAAATGCGATGACGTCATCAACATTTTTGCAAGGACACGTATATCAGTTGGGATAGATGTAGTGTAATACTAAGAATAAAATTATTATATTCTCAAATTTTCGGGAAAATGAATTGGGTCGTTTTGAATATTGATTTGTAATAATCAATAAAATAACGAAACAATTTACTCACGTATACGTATCAGAGGCAACTGAAAATCGTGTATGTATAAACATTCTTAATTTAAGATGACAGGCATAACAGCATACGTGAGAGTCAAACAGAGAAACTGGAAACAAAACGACCATCGGTTTTATTGCTTCGACTTCCGCTTATTATATAAAACATTGGGTTTTATTTTAATTCTTGACGGTGAAATTCACAATTGGTTGATTATAAACATGTCTATTTCACATTCTCGGAACCAAGTGAGCGCATAAAACAAATGCAGGTCTGTAATGTTAAAGTCGATGTAAATAAGCGTGCTACCCTTATGTTTCAACCGAGTTTTTCCTTTAACAAATTTTGTGTCTACCAAATTGGGTTGGTTGGGGTGTAATACTAATAATAAGTGTTGCCTTTAATTTAATCAATAAAATAAATTGACTTCATTAATTTTTTTGAACCACCTCTTAAGAAAATCTAAAAAATATGAATGGAATGATAAATCACAAGCACAAACTCATCATATTTTTTGCATTTTAGATAGGATTTATTCAGCAAAATTTAAGGGTGACGTCATCAATTTTTTTAGGAGGGATGAACAAATACATTTTGAACAAAAGTTTACCATGCTTATAATAACTTTAAAATATTCCCAAGATTTCAAAGCATTCGGTTTTGTAATTCCTGATTAAATCGATAAAATATATTCACGCCTTCATTAATTTTTTTGAGTCACCCTGCATATGCAAATCTAAAAATATGAATGGAATGATAAATCACAAGAAGAGACTCACCATATTTTGTACATTTTAGATACGATTTATTCGGCAAACTTTTGAGCTGACGTCATCAGTTTTTTGTAGAAGATAACCAAATATATTTTGACTAAAAATTTATTATGCTCTTTATAACCTTAAAACATCTGCAAGATTTCAAAGCATTCGGTTTTGTAGTTCCTGATTAAATCAATAAAATAAATTTACGCATTCATTAATTTTTTTGAGTCACCCTGTATATGCAAATCGAAAAAATTTGAATGGAATGATAAATCACAAGAAGAGACTCACCATATTTTGTACATTTTAGATAGGATTTATTCAGCAAAATTTTGTGGTGACGTCATAAATTTTTTAGGGGGGACGACCAAATACGTTTTGATCAAAAATTTACCATGCTTATGATAATTTTAAAATATCTTCAAGATTTCGAAGCATTCGGTTATGTAGTTTCTGAGTAAATCAGTAAAATAAATTTACGCTTTCATTTATTTTCTTGAATCACCCTGTATATGCAAATACAAAAAATATGAATGGAGTGATAGATCACAAGTACAGACTGATCATATTTTGTACATTTTAGATATGATTTATTCGGCAAATTTTCGAGCTGACGTCATCAAGTTTTTGGAGGGGATAAGCAAATATATTTTGACTAAACATTTATTATGCTCTTTATAACCTTAAAACATCTGCAAGATGTCAGAGCATTCCGTTTTGTAGTTCCTGATTAAATCAATAAAATATATTTACGCATTCATTAATTTTTTTGAGTCACTCTGTATATGCAAATCCAAAAAATATGAATGGAGTGATAAATGACAAGTTCAGACTCATCATATTTTTACAGTTTAGATAGGATTTATTCGGCAAACTTTCGAGCTGACGTCATCAATTTTTTGGAGGGGATAAGCAAATATATTTTGACTAAACATTTATTATGCTCTTTATAACCTTAAAACATCTGCAAGATTTCAAAGCATTCGGTTTTGTAGTTTCTGAGTAAATCAGTAAAATAAATTTACGCATTCATTAATTTTTTTGAGTCACCCTGTATATGCAAATCCAAAAAATATGAATGGAGTGATAGATCACAAGTACAGACTCATCATATTTTGTACATTTTAGATATGATTTATTCCACAAACTTTTGAGCTGACGTCATCAAGTTTTTGGAGGGGATAAGCAAATATTTTTTGACTACAGATTTATGATGCTCTTTATAGCCTTAAAACATCTGCAACATTTCAAAGCATTCTGGTTAGCAGATTAAAAATTAAATTTCAAAATGTTGTTTTATAATTTTGATTTTTTTTCCAAAAATCTGGACGTTTCGGGTGAAAAGTCGATTCAGAGTTGTAAACTACATGTGTAGGACTATGTTATTTTATACAATTGAAAACCCATTTACTATGTACAATTTTGAAGTGACGTCATCGCATTAGTGGTGGGGATGATTAGACAAATTTTGGTTAGCGTTTTACCATCTACATGATATTCTTAATATAAGTACAAAATTTCACAACAATCGGTCGAGTACTTTCGGAGATTATCTGTCTAATAAAAATTCGGGACGGCAGACGGACAGACGGACGGACAGACGGACAGACAGACGGAAATGGGAGACCTATTTCTTCGTCTTCTAGGGGTCATGAAAGATCGAGAAAACGTAAAAGTAGAGAGTCGGCCGACGGACTCGATTACAATACTTCCTTTGCTTACGCTCGGGAAGTAAAAACGTCTTAAAATGGACAATAAATGCCGTCTCTAGGACGTCAGTAAATCACGTCAATAGTTCGTTACAAAATGACGACTCTAAGACGCCAGTACATCACGTCAATATTTCGTGAGAAAATGACGTCATCTGGACGAGACATTTGACCGTCATTGGTACGTCAATATCTCGTTAAATCTTTGGTCACTATGACGTAAATGATGACCATTTATTCACGTGAAAAAGACGACATCATGTTGCCTGGGCGACAGCGTAGGGATAGGTAGTACTGACCTGACAGGTAGACCCTTTCGATGCTCGGCTGGTGCGAGTTCCAATTAGTCCAGAAAACACGACCGCCGCAACTATCAATGGCTATTCCTCTGGGTTTGTCCTGAGGGCGAAGACGCACCACGTGTTCGACTTGACTCGAATTGGTCATTTTATCGGTAAGATTGACCCGGTTGATGGTGGCGTGGTTGTTACAAGTCCAGTACAACATTTTATGGAGTTGTTCGTAAGCGAGACCTTCCACGGACCCTTGCCCTACATAACCCCATAAGTAAACTACCTCTGGTATTTTTAACTACTCACCCTCAACAATAATTTTGTGATCCGTACCATTATAAAACACCGCATTAATAGACCCTTTCTGGATGTCAGAATAGAAAAGTCTCTGGTGTTTGTAACTGACGGCAAGCCCGATGGCGTTTTTCAGAAGAGTATTATTTTTGATTTTGGGGTGGGGGGCATTTTGGAGGTTATCGTCGTCGAGGATTTGGATCGAGTCGATGCTGACGACTCGAGAGTACATCACGAAGCTTTGGAAAGCTGCAAAGTTAAGTTATTACAATGGTGAAGAAAACAAGCACAAGAAAGTCCTTACGTTTACAACTTCTACCATCCGAAGAGATTTTCCCGTGGGAACACACGCAAACTGGGTGCGTCCCGTTGAAAAGACACAACTGTTGGCACCCTCCGTTGTTTTTGGCACACGCGTTGGTCCCCTTTTGTTTGCGCTTCGAGAAAATCTGGATGTCTTTGAGGGAGTCGCCGACGTCGCGAAGGAGCACTTTGAAATCCGAAATATTCTTCAATGGGGCTTCCAAAACGCTCCCTTTTTCGAAAGTACTACAATTGAGTTATGTTACTATTGAGTCTATAGGTTGAAAAAAATACATACGTGTCCACCCAGTATATCTTATCCTCGAACACCGTCAAAGCAGCCGGATTCTCCAACGACGTGTTCAACAGCACCTCCCTCCCTTTTCCATCGTACCCCACCACCTCGATCGTGTTCTTCGCCGAGTCACAAAAATAAATCCTCTCTTTGTCTGAGTCCACCGCGACGTCGAAAATCGCCACGGAGTTATTAACCACCAATTTCCTGTTTTTCCCGTCCAAGGTTGCTATCTCCACCCTGGGTCCTCCAGCCCATACAAGAATCCCTTTTACTGGATCCACAGCTATCGAAGTCGGTTTCCCGATTTCGTGGGCCAGCAAAACGTGCTGTTTGCTCCCGTCCAACCTCGCCACTTCGATAACCCCACGTTTGGGGTCACACCAGTACATGTTTCTAGCGACCCAATCAATAGCGAGCCCCGCCAGCCAGTCCACTGGAACGCTATCCATGGCTTCCGTGGGTTCGATAATGAAGCGTCTGTCTGTGCCGTCGCGTCTGATGCTCGTGATGGACCCATGGTCGCTGTCCGCCCAGAACAATAGATCTTCATCGGCGATGAAGTCGATCGCACTGGCCATGGAAACTCGATAAATGGGTCCCAGCACGGCCGTCTGGTTATTACCATCCAAAGACAAACCGCGCACTTCCCAGTTGACGGAATAGAAGATGAATTCTTGGACGCTGATGCACTTGGTGGAGTCTTGAGGATCGGGGTTGTAGCCGGTAGCGCAACGACAGGTGTACGTGGTGTCGGACAAGGGTAAGCAGAGGTGGGAACAGTTGGATTTGGAACAGGGATGGTACCCTTTTTGTTCCAATGGGTCGTAGATTCGCAAAGCGAGAACACTACCGGTGTTGTTGCGTAAGATCATGTCTTTCTGACCTGTCGTTTTGTCTGCTATGTGTATCGAATGGTCATCGTCGTCGGCGTAGTAAACGTGGTCGTGGTATACAGTGACCGCGGTCACTAGTAACTTCGACGGTAGTTTCACTCTTCGTACATCGTTACCGTCCAAGTCACTAAAACAGATCTCGAATTCGCTAACCCAGTAGAGTCTGTTGGATGGCACGTCCACGCACAGACTCTTCGCGTTGGGTCTGACGTTCGTACGTACTATGATTTTCCTATCGGTACCATTCATGTTGCTCGATTCGATGTATGTGGTGTTTGTTGACGCTATCCAATACAAACGTCCTTGAGAAGGATTAGCAGCCATTGATAGTACTTTCACGTCATCGATTAACGTCATCGTGTATTCGGCGTCGAGGTTCGATACGTTTATACCCTGAGGTGACGACACGAACATCAAATTCGACAACCAGTCAATAACGAGACCCGATGGTTGATTCAGACCCCTGTCGATGAGAGTCTGGATGGGTCCCGTGGTCAAACCCGACCTTTTAATTTCATGGTTGTGCGAATCCGCCCAGTAGAGTGTGTTGTTTCGAGCTAGGTACTCCAACTGTACCGGATTTAGCACCTGTGGAACACTAATAGTCGGAATCGTGTGGTAGTACGGCTGCAAAATATCCACCCCTCGAATTTCGCTCATCCTAGCAATGAGAAGAACTTGCTCGTTCACTGTAAAAACACACGTTACACACACTTTATGCTTTAGAGTTCCCTCAAACATATTTGGCGTTTATGACTTCACACCAATTTGACTCCCATTATAATTTAGTAGGCCGTCACAACCGGATGTCTTAAATCCGCTCACCGATACCTACCTGAAAAGACCTTTTCTGGTAAAAGCACAGGGCAGGACTGAGTTTTGTATTTACCGACAACTGCGCCTTTCGATTTTTTTATTTTAAGTAAAAACAAAGTAACTTTACACAACTATTTACTTATTAACACAACTGCTTATTTACTGATCGAAATAGTCACTGTCATCATCACTCGACTCTTCTAAATTAACAGTTAACGCTTTTATCAACCGTGTCCTGTACTGGTCTTTTCCTGAATTTATTCTTCAAGAAGGCACTGTGTTTTGTAGCTTCTGCTACAAACCGCATTTCTATTTACAAAATATGTTTTCGGATCATCGGCAAAATTTTTTGCTACATTGCTACAAAAATACTAATTAAATGGCCTATTATTATTAATTTTTATTTATTTGTCGCTATTTACTGTAAGACAATAATTTTTAAAAATTTTATTTATCTATGTATTTTTTATTAAAAAAATTAAGCTTGATAAACCTGTTTTTATAATTTGTAAATAAATTTAGTTGTGTTATTACACTTCTTTTCAATTTTTGGAGGATATGCAACTGCATATCTCTGCATATATTAATAAAGTTACAGCATATTTGCATAAATTTCATGCATATTACATGATCATATTTCTCAAAATTTTGCTGCATACTTTTCGCTCTCTAGTCATGTATTATCTATACTTATATAACAAAGCTGAAGCTTTTGTTTATTTGAACACGTTAATCTCAGAAACTGCTGGTTCAAATTCAAAAAACTCGGAAAAACGGGAAAATTATTCCTCTTTTGATAGATTCCGTTGCTTACGCTGCTTAAACGGTTAAAGTTACGTAAAAATCATATTTGACGAAATTGTTCCCCTCTAAAAGTTCTAAAGAAAAGTCCCCTCTAAAAAATGAGTCACCTCAAAATTTTGCAGAATAAATCCTGTCTTAAATGTATAAAATATGATGAGTTTTATACTTGTGATTTGTCACTGTATTAATATTTTTTAGATCTGGTTATACAGGGTGTCTCAAAAAAGTTAATGACTGAGTCAATTTATTTTATTGAAGAAATCAAGAATAGCAAAACTGAATACTTTGAAATATTGTAGATGTTTTGAAGTTTTTGTAAGCATGGTAACTTTTTCGAAAATTTGATTAATCAAATATGCGCAAAATCAAAAATCGGAAAAACTGAAATGCAAAAGACAGAAAATCGAAAAATACAAATTGTAAAAATCGACAATTGAAAAACGGGAAAACCAAAAAATCGAAAAGTCAAAAATTTGTAATATTGAAAATTAAAAAAATCAAAAAGAAAAATAAAAAAATCGGAAATTAAAATAATCAAAATATATAAAGTAAAAAAAATTGCAAAGCCGAAAAACTGAAACGAACAGAAAAATCGAAAAAGCAAAAAATTGGAAAAACAAAAATTCGAAAAATATAAAATCGAAAAAGTGGAAAATGGAAAATCTGAATAAAGAAACTTGAAAATTCTGAAAATTGGAAAATCGAAAACCAAAAAATCGGAAAGTAGCAAAATTGAAGTCTGACAGTTGAGAATGGAAAAATTGAAAAATTGAACATAGAAAAATCGATGAATTGAAAAATCGAAAATTCAACTACTCAAATTTTCTAAAAATCGGAAAATCATAAAAGTGAAAAATCCAAAATTCTAATCATCGAAAGTCTGAAAACTGAAAATCGAAAATTCTGAAAAGCGGAAAATAGAATATCGAAAAATTTAAAAGAAAGAAAATTGAAGTCTAAAAACCGAAGAATGGAAAAATTAAAAATCAAAAATTCGAAAAATCAAAACCGAAAAATTCAAAGATTTAAAAAGAAAATCGAAAAATCAAAAATCTGAAAATTGAAACTCGAAAATTTGGAAAATCGAAAAGTAAAAAAATTGAAGTCTAAAAGCTGAAAACTGGAAAACTGAACAATCGAAAATTCGAAAATCAAATATCGAAAAATCGAAAAGCCGAAAAATCGAAAATTTGATAAATCAGATATGCGAAAAACAGAAAATCTGAAAATGCAAAACTGGAAAATCAAAAATCTAAAAATGGAAATTCAATGAATCTAATACGTAGGTCGATCGAAAAACTAGAAATTCACAAATCTGAAAAATCGAAAATTTGCAAGATTGAAGAACCGAGAATTGAAAAATCAAAAAACCCAAAAATGGAAAAATCAAAAATCGAAAAATAGGAAAACTGAAAATTCGAAAATTCATAATATTGAAAACTCTAAAAAGTCAACAATTCAAAAATCAAAAAACTTGAAAGTAAAATAATCGAAAAATCGTAAAATCAAAAAGTGGAAAATCAAAAACTGGAAATTGAAAAATCGAAGATTGGAAAATCGAAAAATCGAAAATCGGAATATCGAGAATCGACAAATTAAAAAAACGAAAATTCAAAAATCGAATAATCCGAAATTAAAATAATAGAAAAGTGGAAAAGTAAAAATTGCAAAGTCTCAAAACTGACGAACAGAACAATCGAAAAATAAAAAAAAATCGAAACATATCTAAACGTGGAAAATCGAAAAATCGAAAATCGGAAAATGGAAAAACCGAAAAATCGAAAACCGAAAACTCGAAAAATCGAAAATTCCATGAAACAAATACTCGAAAAAGGGAAAAGTAAAAAAATTGGAAGGCCTAAAAATTGAAAAATCAAAAAATCGAAAAAACGACGATCGAAAAAAAATCAAAAAATCGAGAAGTGGAAAATCGGAAAGTAACAAAAATTCAAATCTAAAAGCTGCAAATTGCAGAACCATAAAAACTGAAACAAACAGAAAAATCGAAAAACCACAAAAGCGGAAAAACGAAAATCGAAAAATCGCAAATCGAAAAATCGTAAAATCAGAAAATGGAAAATCGAATAATCGAAAGTTGAAAAATCGAAGGTCGAAAAATAAAACAACCGAAAAATCGAAAAATTGTATGATTAATGGAAAATCGAAAAATCGAGAATAGAAGAATTAAAAAACAGGAACATTGAAAAATCGGAAATCGAAGAATTAAAAACGTAAAATCGAGAATTCAAAAATCAAAAAAATCGGAAAGTAGAATATAATCGAAAAATGCAAAAAAATTGCAAAGTCTAAAAGCTGACGAACGAAAAATCAAAAAATCTAAAAATGGAAAGACGAAAAATCGAAAGTTGTTATTGAAATTGTCTCTTATTTCTATCTGGATGCATAGGTTTCACCTCCATCCTTATTTTTGTACTAATAATAATAATAATAATAATGGTAAATTAAAAAATCGAAACATCGAAAAATCAAAAAAACGAAAAATTAAAAAATCGAAAAACGAAAAAACTGAAAACTCGAAAAATCAAAATACCGCAAATTTGAAAAATCAGAAAATTAGAAAGTAATAAAATCGAAAAGTTGATAGAAAAATGGAAACTGAAAAATCTAATTCGATGAAACTGTTGGCCGAAAAAACGAAAAATCGAAAATCGAAGCGACCTTTTTTTGAGACAGGCTGTATAAGTAAATCTAAAAAATATTACTGCAATGATAAATCACAGGTATACACTCATCATATCAAATTTTACGATGACGTCATGCATTTTTTGGCGAAGATAAGCAAATACATTTACTCTTTGTATATTTCAGTGGTCACAACGAGTTCACTAACTACGCTGAAGTATGCAAAGATTAAATTTGTCACCGAAAAGATTTTTTCTTTAATGTGAATTTTATAACTATGGTCGGCACAATTAGACCTAATATTAGTGTGATTTTGAGCGTATTCTCGATGTTATTAGAGCAGGACAGGTTTTTTTTTTTCTAACTAATTGACAAGATTTCAAAGTATTCATTTTTGCAATTCTTGATTTCTTCAATAAAATAAATTGACTCAGTATTTTTTTTTTTGAGTCCCCCTGTATGCATAAACAAATCCAAAAAATATTAATGGAATGGTAAATCACAAGTATATTCTGAACATTTTAGATAGGGTATTTATAAAATTAAAACTAATTCAGAGTAAGTATTTATAAAATTAAAACTAATTCAGGGGAAGAATTTGGTCAACACGTAAATTTCGTTGTAGTTTGAGCCTACCTACAAATTCTGCCCTTGGACGATTCGGACCGCCTCCTTCGGTGACGACCGGCAAAAATGATCCGCCCATAGGCTCAAAACATTTGCGTGCGATTGTACCCTCTGGATTTGAAACAAAGGCCGGTGACATCGTCAAAATTATTTGATTTATCAAAAAACTTTGTGGATGATTTTATGTTTTTTGCTTTCATGATCTTAATAATATTTTCAAATGTGCAGAATAATGATTAAATAATTAAGGTACGGAAGAAACAAAATTACTCTTAGTCCGGTCCTTCGCGTCTCGGCCGTCCCTGGCACGTGGCATGGTTTACATTTACTAAGCTTTATGAAGGGTCGGCTGTAAAGTACTTTAAACGTCAAAGCCATAAACGCCTTATAGGTTTGAGGAAACTATACCATCCAACACAACTTACCATCACACTTCTTATTATCGCGGTTCAACCTCATAACGTGCGGACAGTCGCACCTGTAACTCTGATTCGTGTGAAGCAAACACAAGTGTGAACACCCTCCGTTGTTGTCCCCGCACGGGTTCAACCCGTCTCTGGGTTGCCTCGACGGGTGCAAAATCTGGATGTCGAAGGGCTGGGTTAGCGTCCTCTGGATGACTGAGACGTCGCCACCGGTGAATTTGTTCGCCCGCACCACGCTGTTGGTCCTCCAGTCCGTCCAGTAAACGTAGTTCTCGAAGAGGGTGATGGCGAAGGGATGGGACAACGTTTCGTGGTTCCTCATCACCTCGTGGTGGTCGCTGCCGTCGTACTTGGTGGTGTGAATAGAGTCGGAGCGGGCGTCGATCCAATAAATCCGACGCAGGTCGTAGTCGAGGGTTAACCCATTGGGCCAGCCGCCGTCGGTGATCTGGTCCACTCTTACCACCACCAGACGCTCCAATCCCGCCAGGGAGCAGCGCTCGATTCGAGGCGCGTTGTTATCCCAGTCCGTCCAGAAAAGGAAACCGTCGCGGGGGTCCACAGCCACGGCTCGAGGGCTCTCCATCTCGCCGGCCACCAGAGTGCGCCTGAAGCGCCCGTCGAGTTTGGCCACCTCGATTTGATCCAGGTTGCTTTCGACCCAGTATAGATTCTCGCCTATCCAATCCACCGCCAACCCCTCGGCCGTCGACAGCCCCGTCTGCACCACCACCTCTATGTTGCTCAGCGACCCCCCCACCACCGTCCCCCTATAAATCTTATCATCGATCACGTCCGTCCAGAACACCATATCCGCATTCTCCGTGTGATAAAAATCCAGCGCTATCGTATTCCTCAGACTCGAAATGAACGACTTGACGTTGAAATTGTGCAAATCCACGGCTTTCAGCTCGTGCCGGTTGCTGAAAATGACATGGGGCACCGCCCCGTTGGTGCTCCTGCACGTGAAGCTGTCCGGCTCCAAGGCGTACCCGTCGAAGCAGCCGCACTTGTACCTCTGTCCCACCTCGACGCACTTCTGCGAGCACACCCCCCAGGCGTCGCACGGATGCGTGCTGAGGCAGTGGGTGCGGTCGGGCTGCAGATGCAGGTGCGGCGGACAGTAGCAAACCAAGCCCTCGGGGGCGTTGTGGCAGTGGTGCGAGCACACGATGCTGTGGTCGCAGAGCAGCTCCGAGCACCTGGCGCCCTCGTCGGAGCCGTCGTCGCAGTCCGGCTCGTCGTCGCAGAGCTGCTCCACGCTGAGGCACACGGTGCTGTTGTCGCAGAAGCGGGACGGGTAGTGGCAGGTGGGGACGGGAGGGGTGGGCTGGAAGGTGGAGTTCTCCATGGAGGTCGGGGTGCAGTTCTCCTCGTCCGTGCGGTCGAAGCAGTCCGCGTCGGAGTCGCACACCATGGTCTGGAATCAAGGGTTTTTGGAATTAGTTATTCGCGTAATTGTACGGGTAGTACCCGGTGGATGCATTCGAACTTCTTGGTACATTCAAACTCGAATGATTCGCAGATCCTTTGTCCGTCCTTGCCGCAGTTTATTTCGTCGTAGCTTCCGTCGCAGTCGACGACTCCGTCGCATCGTTTGGAGCCTGAGAGGCAGGTGTTTGTCGTGGGGCAGAAGAACTGTTGATCTGTGTCACAAGTGGTGCAGTTGATTTCGTCAGAGCTGTCGTTGCAGTCGTCGAAGGTGTCGCAGTACATAAAGATCTCGATGCAGCGGCCGTTTTTGCACGTGAATTCGTCAACCTCGCATGGCTTTCTTTCTACAGAAAGAAAAGCGAAATAGTGTTTAGGTCTAGTTAGTTCGAATTTGCGTACGCTCGCGAACGTCATTAATTTTAGCAGTAAATGACTTAAAGGGACTCCCTCGAAGAAATGTACCACATGGTTTTCCAATTGTTCTACCTCGTCTTGGGAGTCCTCTTAATCGACGAGTTACCATTTCGTCGCCTGACAACTTGTTTGATCTACAGACCAGAGCGCACTCAGGCCAATGTCGACTCTAAGCGTTCAGAAACGATTTGATCTATAAACCATGTTCCGTGATCTGATACACATCTTAACCGCTTGGTCGGACTATACAACGAATAAGTGAATATTTTGGTAGGTACATGTGGTAATTATAATTATTAGCATGCAACTATTTTTTCTTTAATTAAAAAATAATTCTTTAATTATGTATGGTACTAGTAAAATTCCGCAAATTAACAATGCTGTTGGAATCGTTATCATGCAATAGATTTTTTTCGGAAAAGAAACGCCCTCGACGTTGAGACTTTTCGATTTTTCGACTTTTCGATTTCTTGCTTTTCCAACTTTCGAATATTCAATTTTTCTAAATTTTAGTTTTGGAATTTTTAAGTTTATTTATTATTCAATTTTTGGATTTTATAATTTCTCAATTTTTCAATTTTTCTCTTCAATTTTGCGATTTTTAAATATTTCGATTTTTCAATTAATCGATGTTTTGATTTTCCTATTTCCCGACATTCGACTCTTTCGATTTTTCAGGTTTTTGATTTTTCAGTTTTTCTATTTTTAAGGTTTCGTTTTGTCGACTTCACTTTTTTGATTTTTCGATTTCTCAATTTTTCAGTTTTTTAATTTCTCAGTTTTTGGATTTTTCAGCTTTTCTTTCGTTTTTCAATTTTTCGAAATTTCAGTTCTGGATTTTTCAGTTTATTATTCAATTTTCCGATTTTACAGTTTGTCAAGTTTTTCACGATTTCTCAATTTTCCGATGTTTCAATTTTATGTTTTTCCAATTTTTCAAATTTGACATTAGAAACTGTTTTTTGATTTTTCGACTTCACTGATTTCTCAGTTTTTCAATTTTTTAATTACTCAGTTTTTGGATATTTCAGTTTTGAGATTTTTCAGTTTTTCTAAATTTCAATTTTGGGATTTTTCAGATTATTATTCAATTTTTCTCCTCTTCAATTTTACAATTTTTAAATATTTCGATTTTTCAATTAATCGATGTTTTGATTCTCCCATTTCTTGACTTTCGACTGTTTCGATTTTTTGACTTCACTTTTTTAATTTTTCGATTTCTCAATTTCTTGGTTTTTTAATTTCTCAGTTTTTGGATATTTCAGTTTTGGGATTTTTCGGTTTATTTATTACTCAATTTTTCGATTTTACAGTTTGTCAAGTTTTCAATTTCACGATTTCTCAATTTACCGATGTTTCAATTTTATATTTTTCCAATTTTCCAAATTTGACTTTTAGAAATTGTTTTTCGATTTTTCATTCTTCAATTTTTCATTTTTTTAGGTTTTTGATTTTTCAATTTGTTAAGATTTTGATTTTTCGACTTCACTTTTTTTGACTTTTTGATTGCTCAGTTTTTCAGTTTTTTAATTATGTCTGTTTTTGGATATTTTTGTTTTGAAATTTTTTAGTTTTTCCTTCATTTTTCAATTTTTCTAAATTCAATTTTGGGATTTTTCAGATTATTTATTATGCAATTTTACGATTTTTAAATATTTCGATTTTTCAATTAATCAATGTTTTGATTTTCCCATTTCTTGACTTTCGACTGTTTCGATTTTTCGGTTTTTGATTTTTTAGTTTGTCTATTTTTAAAAGTTTCGATTTTTCGACTTCACTTTTTTGATTTTTCGATTTCTCAATTTTTCAGTTTTTTAAATTCTCAGTTTTTGTATATTTCAGTTTTGGGATTTTTCAGTTTTTCTTTCATTTTTCAATTTTACGATTTCTCAATTTTCCGATGTTTCAATTTTACGGTTTTCTAATTTTCTCGGCAATTTTACGATTTTTAAATATTTCGATTTTTCAATTTTTCAAATTTGACTTTCATAAATTCTTGTTTTTCCATTTTTTTTGTTCAATTTTTAAAATTTGTAGGTTTTTGATTTTTCAATTTTTTAAGATTTTGATTTTTCGATTTCAGTTTTTTGACTTTGATTTCTCAGTTTTTCTTTCATTTTTCAATTTTTCTAAATTTCAATTTTGGGATTTTTCAGATTATTTATTATTCAATTTTTCGATTTTACAATTTCTCAATTCTCAATTTTTCGATGTTTCAATTTTAAGTTTTTTCAATTTTTCTCCTTTTAAATATTTCGATTTTTCATTTAATCGATGTTTTGATTTTCCCATTTCTTGACTGTTTCGATTTTTCGGTTTTTCAATTCTTCAGTTTTTTGGTTTTTCAGGTTTTTGATTTTTCGTTTTCTCAATTTCTTGGTTTTCCAATTTTTCTCGGCAATTTTATGATTTTTAAATATTTCGATTTTTCATTTCTTCAATTTAAAAATTTTTTAGGTTTTTGATTTTTCAATTTTTTAAAGTTTTGATTTTTCGAGTTCACTTTTTTGATTATGTGATTTCTCAATTTTTCAGTTTTTTAATTTCTCAGATTTTGGATATTTCAGTTTTGGGATTTTTCAGTTTTTCTTTCATTTTTCAATTTTTCGAAATTCCAGTTTTGTTTTTTGTCAGTTTATTTATTATTCAATTTTTCAATTTCACGATTTCTCAATTTTCCGATGTTTCAGTTTTACGGTTTTCCAATTTTTCTCGGCAATTTTATGATTTTTAAATATTTTGATTTTTCAATTTTTCAAATTTGACTTTTATAAACTCTTGTTTTTCGATTTTTCTTTTCTTCAATTTTTAAAATTTTTAGGTTTTTGATTTTTCAATTTTTTAAGATTTTAATTTTTCGATTTCACTTTTTTGACTTTGATTTCTCAGTTTTTCAATTTTTTTAATTTCTCTGTTTTTGGATATTTCAGTTTTGAGATTTTTTTAGTTTTTCCAATCTTCATTTTCCTTTCATTTTTCAATTTTTCTAAATTTCAATTTTTCGATTTTTCAATTGATCGATGTTTTGATTTTCCTATTTCTTGACATTCGACTGTTTCGATTTTTCAGGTTTTTGATTTTTCAGTTTTTCTATTTTTTAAGGTTTCGTTTTGTCGACTTCACTTTTTTGATTTTTCGATTTCTCAATTTTTCAGTTTTTGAATTTCTCAGTTTTTGGATATTTCAGTTTTGGGATTTTTCAGTTTTTCTTTCATTTTTCAATTTTTCGAAATTTCAGTTCTGGATTTTTCAGTTTATTTATTATTCAATTTTTCGATTTTAGAGTTTGTCAAGTTTTCAATTTCACGATTTCTCAATTTACCGATGTTTCAATTTTATATTTTTCCAATTTTCCAAATCTGACTATTAGAAACTGTTTTTCGATTTTTCATTCTTCAATTTTTCAATTTTTTACGTTTTTGATTTTTCAATTTGTTAAGATTTTGATTTTTCGACTTCACTTTTTTTGACTTTTTGATTTCTCAGTTTTTCAGTTTTTTAATTACTCTGTTTTTGGATATTTCTGTTTTGAAATTTTTAAATTTTTCCAATCTTCAGTTTTTCTTTAATTTTTCAATTTTTCTAAATTTCAATTTTGGGATTTTTCAATTTATTTATTATTCAATTTTTCAATTTCACGATTTCTCAATTTTCCGATGTTTCAGTTTTACGGTTTTCCAATTTTTCTCGGCAATTTTATGATTTTTAAATAATTCGATTTTTCAATTTTTCAAATTTGACTTTTATAAACTCTTGCTTTTCGATTTTTTATTTCTTCAATTTTAAAAATTTTTAGGTTTTTGATTTTTCAATTTTTTAAGGTTTTGATTTTTCGAGTTCACTTTTTTGATTATTTGATTTCTCAATTTTTCAGTTTTTTAATTTCTCAGTTTTTGGATATTTCAGTTTTGGGATTTTTCAGTTTTTGTTTCATTTTTCAATTTTTCGAAATTCCAGTTTTGGGATTTTTCAGTTTATTTATTATTCAATTTTTCAATTTCACGATTTCTCAATTTTCCGATTTTTAAATATTTCGATTTTTCATTTCTTCAATTTTTAAAAATTTTAGGATTTTGATTTTTCAATTTTTTAAGGTTTTGATTTTTCGAGTTCACTTTTTTGATTATTCGATTTCTCAATTTTTCAGTTTTTTAATTTCTCAGTTTTTGGATATTTCAGTTTTGGGATTTTTCAGTTTTTCTTTCATTTTTGAATTTTTCGAAATTCCAGTTGTGGAATTTTTCAGTTTATTTGTTATTCAATTTTTCAATTTCACGATTTCTCAATTTTTCGATGTTTCAATTTTACGGTTTTCCAATTTTTCTCGGCAATTTTAGGATTTTTAAATATTTCGATTTTTCAATTTTTCAAATTTGACTTTTATAAACTCTTGTTTTTCGATTTCACTTTTTGGATCAAAAGATTTCTCAGTTTTTCAATTTTTCCATTGTTCAGTTTTTCTTTCAGTTTTCAATTTTTCGAAATTTCAATTTTGGGATTTTTCAGATTACATATTTATTATTCAATTTCCCGATTTTCAAATTTTTGATGTTTTAGTTTTACGTTTTTTCAGTTTTTCTCTTAAATTTTACGATTTTTAAATATTTCGGTTTTTCGATTTTTCAATTTTTGACTCTTCTAAATTCTCAATTTTTTGATTTTACAATTAATCGATGTTTTGATTTTCCCATTTCTTGACTTCCGACTCGTTCGATTTGGCAGTTCTTCAATTCTTCAATTTTTAGATTTTTTAAGGTTTCGATTTTTTTTAATTTTATTTTTAAAATTTTTCGATTTTTCAATGTTGTGATTTTCCGTTTTTTCGGTTTTTTATTTTTCCGCTTTTAGATTTTCAGAATTTTTTAATTTTTTGATTTCTCGATTTATTGACATTTGGATGTTTCGATGTTTTGATTGTTCAATTTCTAGATTTATCAATTTTTCAGTTTTTCATTTTTCGATTTCGGCCCATTTCGGTTTCTCAATTTTTCGACTTGTCGACTTTTTAATTTCTGGATCTTTTGATTTTTCGATTTCTCGGTTTTTCCACTTTTTACTTTTCGGATTTTCGATTTTCCACTTCTTGGATGTTTCGATTTTTTAAATTTTGGAGTTTCGATTTTTCGTTTTTCGGTTTTTAAATTTTAGATTTTTTTTCTCAGTGTTAATATCATACAATGTATCGAAAATAAACACAAAAATTTGTCACTAAATTTGTCGTTAAAAAATCCATAGAAAGTAGAAGACAAAACATAAAAATAACTACATTTTCCCGAAAAAAATCTACTTATTCATTATAAAATCCGACCAAACAACTATTTCCCGCAGAAATTATGCTCCAAATCAGCTAAATCGCTTAGAGTCGACACTGGCTTGAGCGCGCTCTGGTCTGTAGATCAAACAAGTTTTCAGGCGCCGATTTAATATACACAACTATAAATCCCCCCGAACGTCATCAACGTCGCAATCATCGATTATCATTTACCAGAACCCGCCGCCAAATCGACGCCCATTTTCACTCAAACTACTTCCCACCGAGCAATCTCGACCCTAATTACCACCATCAACCCCAACTTACCGCAGTCCTCTTCATCGCTGGAGTCATACGGCCCGCAATCAGCCACCGAATCGCATTTCCACACCGACGGAATGCACCGCTTCGAAACGGCACACTTAAACTGCGCCGCCGAGCAGACCTGCGAGCAATTCTTCTCGTCCTCGTCGGTCCCGTCGACGCAATCTTGCTCGCCGTCGCAACGCCAGTACTTGGAAATGCACGTGTGATTATCGCACTTCATCTGATTCGCACCGCACACGGTGTCCCCGCAGGGACCATCAGGTCCCCCGGCTTCGTCGGAATGGTCGCCGCAGTTATTGATACCGTTGCAGGTCTCCGACTGCGGGACGCAATACGAGTTCTTGCACTGGAACTGACCCGGAAGACAGATATTGAAAACGTGGGTGTTGTTCAATTGAGGTAAGCACGTGTTGTTGACGAGATGGAAGCCGTTGGAGCACTCGCACACCGCCCCCACGGGGGTGGGTAAACACAGCTCGGGACACTCGGTGTTCTTGGTGCAGTTGTTCTCACCTACAACGGGGTTGAGTCTGTTATTACACTGCATCAACGTTATTTCTAATATTAGTTCTATGTACATTAGCGTTTATCTTTTGTTAAACTAATTAATAATTATGGGAAACTTTTGAACATCATGTGATGATTTCAACCCTTAGACATCATGTGATGATCCAGTACAGTAGACCTAAAATTATTATATTCTCAAATTTTCGGGAAAATGAATTGGGTCGTTTTGAATATTGATTTGTAATAATCAATAAAATAACGAAACAATTTACTCACGTATACGTATCAGAGGCAGCTGAAAATCGTGTATGTATAAACATTCTTAATTTAAGATGACAGGCGTAACAGCATACGTGAGAGTTAAACAGAGAAACTGTAAACAAAACGACCATCGGTTTTATTGCTTCGACTTCCGCTTATTATATAAAACATTGGGTTTTATTTTAATTCTTGACGGTGAAATTCACAATTGGTTGATTATAAACATGTATATTTCACATTCGCGGAACCAAGTGAGCGCATTAACAAATGCAGGTCTGTAATGTTAAAGTCGATGTAAATAAGCGTGCTACCCTTATGTTTCAACCGAGTTTTTCCTTTAACAAATTTTGTGTCTACCAAATTGGGTTGGTTGGGGTGTAATACTAATAATAAGTGTTGCCTTTAATTTAATCAATAAAATAAATTGACTTCATTAATTTTTTTGAACCACCTCTTAAGAAAATCTAAAAAATATGAATGGAATGATAAATCACAAGTACAAACTCATCATATTTTTTGCATTTTAGATAGGATTTATTCAGCAAAATTTAAGGGTGACGTCATCAATTTTTTTAGGAGGGATGAACAAATACATTTTGAACAAAAGTTTACCATGCTTATAATAACTTTAAAATATTCCCAAGATTTCAAAGCATTCGGTTTTGTAATTCCTGATTAAATCGATAAAATAAATTCACGCCTTCATTAATTTTTTTGAGTCACCCTGCATATGCAAATCCAAAAATATGAATGGAATGATAAATCACAAGTACAGACTCATCATATTTTGTACATTTTAGATACGATTTATTCGGCAAACTTTTGAGCTGACGTCATCAGTTTTTTGTTGAAGATAACCAAATATATTTTGACTAAAAATTTATTATGCTCTTTATAACCTTAAAACATCTGCAAGATTTCAAAGCATTCGGTTTTGTAGTTCCTGATTAAATCAATAAAATAAATTTACGCATTCATTAATTTTTTTGAGTCACCCTGTATATGCAAATCGAAAAAATTTGAATGGAATGATAAATCACAAGAAGAGACTCACCATATTTTGTACATTTTAGATAGGATTTTTTCAGCTAAATTTTGTGGTGACATCATAAATTTTTTAGGGGGGACGACCAAATACGTTTTGATCAAAAATTTACCATGCTTATGATAATTTTAAAATGTCTTCAAGATTTCGAAGCATTCGGTTTTGTAGTTCCTGAGTAAATCAGTAAAATAAATTTACGCTTTCATTTATTTTCTTGAATCACCCTGTATATGCAAATCCAAAAAATATGAATGGAGTGATAGATCACAAGTACAGACTCATCATATTTTGTACATTTTAGATATGATTTATTCGGCAAATTTTCGAGCTGACGTCATCAAGTTTTTGGAGGGGATAAGCAAATATATTTTGACTAAACATTTATTATGCTCTTTATGGCCTTAAAACATCTGCAAGATTTCAGAGCATTCGGTTTTGTAGTTCCTGATTAAATCAATAAAATATATTTACGCATTCATTAATTTTTTTGAGTCACCCTGTATATGCAAATCCAAAAAATATGAATGGAGTGATAGATCACAAGTACAGACTCATCATATTTTGGAAGTAAAAATGACAATATAACACTGGATCAATTAAGATTTCGAAAATCAATTGGCAAGAATTAAATCATCTTTCATATTGACAAATCTCCCACCAACAGAAGGCGTTTGTTTCATGGATTTTAAATTTTTGAGTTTATCAGTGTAACCTGGAATCTTACTTTTTTCGAGTAATTAAATTGTAAATTTTAATAAATAGCTCAAAATTTTACATGATTAAAAAAAAATTTCTAATTCGAGTTTTTCGTTTTTTTTGGATTTCCTGAGAAAATTTACCATAGTAATGTATACTTTTTTTTACACCATTAGAAACTAGAGATTTCAATGAACAAAAAGCACACCGATTTTTTACTTCCCGAGCGTAAGCAAAGGAAGTATTGTAATTGAGTCCGTCGGCCGACTCTCTACTTTTACGTTTTCTCGATCTTTCATGACCCCTAGAAGACGAAGAAATAGGTCTCCCATTTCCGTCTGTCTGTCCGTCTGTCTGTCCGTCTGTCCGTCCGTCCGTCTGTCCGTCTGCCGTCCCGGATTTTTATTACACAGATAATCTCCGAAAGTACTCGACCGATTGTTGTGAAATTTTGTACTTATATTAAGAATATCATGTAGATGGTAAAACGCTAACCAAAATTTGTCTAATCATCCCCACCACTAATGCGATGACGTCACTTCAAAATTGTACATAGTAAATGGGTTTTCAATTGTATAAAATAACATAGTCCTACACATGTAGTTTACAACTCTGAATCGACTTTTCACCCGAAACGTCCAGATTTTTGGAAAAAAAAATCAAAATTATAAAACAACATTTTGAAATTTAATTTTTAATCTGCTAACCAGAATGCTTTGAAATGTTGCAGATGTTTTAAGGCTATAAAGAGCATCATAAATCTTCAGTAAAAAAATATTTGCTTATCCCCTCCAAAAACTTGATGACGTCAGCTCAAAAGTTTGTGGAATAAATCATATCTAAAATGTACAAAATATGATGAGTCAGTACTTGTGATCTATCACTCCATTCATATTTTTTGGATTTGCATATACAGGGTGACTCAAAAAAATTAATGAATGCGTAAATTTATTTTATTGATTTAATCAGGAACTACAAAACCGAATGCTTTGAAATCTTGCAGATGTTTTAAGGTTATAAAGAGCATAATAAATTTTTAGTCAAAATATATTTGGTTATCTTCAACAAAAAACTGATGACGTCAGCTCAAAAGTTTGCCGAATAAATCGTATCTAAAATGTACAAAATATGATGAGTCTGTACTTGTGATTTATCATTCCATTCATATTTTTGGATTTGCATATGCAGGGTGACTCAAAAAAATTAATGAAGGCGTGAATTTATTTTATCGATTTAATCAGGAATTACAAAACCGAATGCTTTGAAATCTTGGGAATATTTTAAAGTTATTATAAGCATGGTAAAACTTTTGTTCAAAATGTATTTGTTCATCCCTCCTAAAAAAATTGATAACGTCACCCTTAAATTTTGCTGAATAAATCCTATATAAAATGCAAAAAATATGATGAATTTGTACTTGTGATTTATCATTCCATTCGTATTTTTTAGATTTTCTTAAGAGGTGGTTCAAAAAAATTAATGAAGTCAATTTATTTTATTGATTAAATTAAAGGCAACACTTATTATTAGTATTATACCCCAACCAACCCAATTTGGTAGACACAAAATTTGTTAAAGGAAAAACTCGGTTGAAACATAAGGGTAGCACGCTTATTTACATCGACTTTAACATTACAGACCTGCATTTGTTTTATGCGCTCACTTGGTTCCGCGAATGTGAAATAGACATGTTTATAACCAACCAATTGTGAATTTCACCGTCAAGAATTAAAATAAAACCCAATGTTTTATATAATAAGCGGAAGTCGAAGCAATAAAACCGATGGTCGTTTTGTTTACAGTTTCTCTGTTTGACTCTCACGTATGCTGTTACGCCTGTCATCTTAAATTAAGAATGTTTATACATACACGATTTTCAGTTGCCTCTGATACGTATACGTGAGTAAATTGTTTCGTTATTTTATTGATTATTACAAACCAATATTCAAAACGACCCAATTCATTTTCCCGAAAATTTGAGAATATAATAATTTTATTCTTAGTATTACACTACATCTATCCCAACTGATATACGTGTCCTTGCAAAAATGTTGATGACGTCATCGCAATTTTTTTTTAAATTCCCACTACAAAAATGTAATGAGAAAAAAACACAATAGGCATGCAGTCGTCAAGTTTCCGACAGCGAGGGAAGTACTGTCTAAACTCTTTAGACCAATTTTTTTTGTTATATTTTCTTCCTTTTCCAATGGGTATCATCCTGTTCTAAATTTTTTTGTTCTAAAAAATTATCGGCCCTGGCCTATTAGGTTATAATAATATGCTTAATGACTAATGTATCAGGTATTATGCACAATTCCTGTTCCTCTGTTAGTTATTATCAATATTACCTAAACGTATACGTTATTGTGCATTATAACTGAAAAATTCAGTTATTACGCATAATTCCTAATGTTTCCGGTTATTATGCATAATAACTGACAAGTTTAGTTATTACGCATAATTCCTAAAATATCTAGTTATTATGCATAATAACGTATTTCGGATATTAGCTGTAACATATATATCCCCAAACTCATTGTAAGAACAGAACAATATTAATAATGGAACTCTAATGCGGTAGAAATCGAGAACCGTGACTTGTAAATAAAAATCATCTTGAGTATTTAAATGTGAGTTTATTTAAAAACGACAAAACAACCCCGTACGTGTTAAGTGATTCGACCCCGGAAACGCGAACCCTTTACAAGTCACTGGAGACCACTTTAGAGTTTTCTTACCTTTTTGGGACGAGGCGTCGTACAGTTTGATGTCTAGGATCGGGGGGTTGCTGTGATCCAGCTCCTTCAACCCGGTTTTACTGCTGTACATCATCACGGTCCCGTTGGCGAATTCCGTGAAGTAGAAACGTTTCCCCGGTCCTAATGCCAACCCGAATGGATGCTTGATCCCTTTACTCAGCTCCACTCTCCTGTTCCTCCCGTTGAAATCGATACTCTCGATCCTACTCAAGTGACGATCGCACCAATACAGCCTCTTCTCGACCAAATCCAGCGTAAGCCCGCTCGGCCAATCTATATCCACCTCGACGAAATCCTTCAAATTCTTCCCGTCCATATTAGCGACGTAAATCTTCCCTTTATTCGGAAAAATATTCGACCAGTCTCCCCAATACATCACCCCTCGACTCGGATCCAGCGTGATCGACACCGGGTTGAAAAACGGGTCTTGAATCAAAGTCCGACTCTGCGACGAATTAGCCAACTTGAGCACACTAATACTCCCGACTTCGTGATCCGTCCAATACAAATTGCGCGACATCCAGTCCACGGCGAGCCCGTCGCACATTCGCACGTTCTTCTGCAGCACGACTTTATGCGACGAGTCACTAATTTTCGTGCTCTCGATCACCATCCGGTGACTATCCGAGTAAATGATGCTACCGCTCTGCACGTCGTAGTCTATAGCCGTGGGTTGGCGGATCCCCGTCACAGGAATCATAGTTTCGTTGTTGCTATCAAGCTCGATACCCTTAATCGAAGCCGGTTTACTCTTCGCAATCAAAAGAAACCGATTACCGGTTTTAATGACGCAGCGGTTTTTACTATTCATGCGATACCCAGCAGCACAGAGGCATTTCTCGATAGCAACGTCGCGCTTCCAGTTGGAGATACACATGTGCTCACAGTCGGATTTATAGTGGCAGGGGTGCGGAACTAAAAATGGCGCAGTCGGTAGGATGCGATTTAACCACGACGAAAACGAGAACTACTCACCTATGGGGTGCCGCTGCCTGTGGTACACGTGGATATTAAACGGCCTACTTGTCTCCTTATACAGCACATCCGCCTTCTTAGTAAACTTATCCAGCCGGAGAATGTCGTTGCTGTACCACGACGACAAATACAACTTGTTTTCGAAAACGCTGATCCCGTAGAGATTTTGCATCGAAAGCCCTCTTAAAATCGTCTTCCTGTGCTTGCCTTCGTAGTCCACGCGTTCCACGAAATCCAGATAGGTGTCCACCCAATAAATCTGCTGGGTGGGGTAGTCCACCGTCACCCCGTACGGGTACACGATCTTGACGTCGACTATGGGCTTCCTGTCGCTCCCGTCCATTCTACACCGCTCCAGCATGGGAGACGAGTGCCCCCACTTCGTGAAGAACATGTAGCCTCGGGTGGGGTCCAGAGCCACCGCTCGAGGTTTGCCCAGGTCGTGCTCCAGGAGGATGTTACACCACTCCAGGTGCTCGGTGCACACCAAAATGATTTCTCGTTGGTCGTCCAAGAAGTACCAGTTTCTGGAGACCCAGTCCATCGCCATCTGCTGGACGGATTCGAACTCTAAAAGGGTGGAGCGGGATTTGAGTTCGGTGCGTTGAGTGAAGTCGTCTATGTTGGCGCAGACGAGAGACGCTTTGGAGTGGTTGTGGTGGACGTAGCACACGGAGTGGTTGTTGAAGATGAATTCCAGAGCGGTACTGTTGAGGAGGTCCAGGAACGAATTGCCTGGCCAGGGGTCGCCGGTGAGTTTGAGGCGGCGGATCTCGGCCTGGGTTGAGAAAATGAGCGAGGGTTCCATGTCTCTGGGAACTGAAAGAACGGCGGCATTCAGATAAGGCAGTTTTGTAAAGTTTATGGGTGGTACCAGGATTCAATATTTAAGGATTCTAGGAATTTAAAATTTTCCGATTTCTCCACTTTTGAATTTCCAATTTTTCCGAATTACAATTGATTTTGTAGTTTTTCGATTTTTATTTTGCAATATTTAGTTTTTACAATTTTTAGATAGGTATTTTAAATTTTCATTTTTTCAAATGTTTTGAATTTTCAGTTTTGTAATTTTTATTTTTTGATTTCTTAATAATGCAATTTTTCAAGTCTTCAATTATAATTTTGCAATTTTTCGATGTTCAATTTTTGAACTTTTTACTTTCTCGACTTTTAAATTTCAATTTCCTGATTTTTCGATTTTTTTATTTTTTCGATTCTCGACATTTAATTTTTCTATTTGAAATTGTTTTGGTTTAAATTTTTTTAATTTTTCGATTATTCATTTTTCTTATTTTTCCAAATTACAAATACTTCCGTGTTTCGATTTTTCAATTTTTAGATTTTTCAGTTTTACAATTTTCTCAATGCGATTTATCAATTTTTAATTTTTCAATTTTCCTTTACAATTTTTTGATTTCTCCATTTTTCACTTCTTCGTTTCTTCATTATCTTGATCTGATTTCTTTCTGGTTTTCAATGAATTTTTCAATTTTAAGATTTTAAGATTTTGCAAATTTTCATTTCTTTGCTTTCTCGTTTCGGTTTCTCAATTTTTGGAGTTTTGAGTTTCAAAATTTTTAATTTTTCAATTTTTCAGTTCTTCTTTTCTTCAGTTATTGGACACGCAATTTTTGAATTTTTCAATTATAAATTTTTCAAGTTTTGAAGTTTTCACCTTCCCGACTTAAATTTTCGATTATTATGTTGTAATGTTTGGAATTTTCAGTTTGCAATTTTTCGATTGTCGACATTTTATTTTGATTATTAAATTTTTTTATTTTTTCGAATTACGAATTTCTCAATCCGATTTTTCAATTTTTAAATTTTCCGATTTTCCTGTACAATTTTTTAATTATTCGTTTCTTCATTTTTTCGATTTGCAATTTTTCGGTGTTTAGATTTTACAATTTTTTTTTTTTCAACTTTTCGATTTTTTAATTTTTAGATTTTTCAATTTTACAATTTTCTTTGTAATGTTTTGAATCCTCACTCATCCGATTTTCTACGATTTTTCCCTTTTTACGGTTTTCGATTTTTAGTTTTTCTTTTTCTCTACATTTTGATTTTTCAATCGTCCTTTTTCTCGATTTTAATTTTTCAACTTTTCGATTTTTCTTTGCGAATTTTTAGTTTCTCCATTTTCGCTTCTTCGTTTTTTGAATTTCAAGAATCTCCAAATTTTCATTTTTTCAATTATCAGTTTTTTAATTTTTAATTCTTGTTTTCTTCAACTGTGAGATTTCAGTGTTTCGAGTTTATTTACAATTTTCGGTTTTTTTCATTTTTCGAGTTCAGTTTTAAAATTACTCATATTTCTAGATTTTTCATTTCCTCGACTTAATTTTTAAGTTCTCCGATTTTTCCGAATTGCAAATTATTTCGATTTTTTAGTTTTTCGATTTTTATTTTGCGATCTTTCGTTTTTACAATTTTTAGATGATATAAATTTTAATTTCTTCAATTTTGCAATTTTTCGATGCCTAAATTTTCTTATTATTTCGAAAAAGGACGAAAAGGTCGAAAAGAATGAAAAAGGACGAAAAGGATAAAAAGGATGTAAAAGGACGAAAAGGACGAAAAAGACGAATTGGATAAAAAATTACGAAAAGGACAAAAAGGAGGAAGAGGACGAAAAAGGATGAAAAAGACGAAAAGGTCGAGAAGAACGTAAAGGATGAAAAATTACGCAAAGGATGAAAAAGGACGAAAAAAGACGCAAAGGACGAAAAAGGACGAAAAGTGCGAAAAGGATAAAAAATTACGAACAGTACGAAAACGGGCGAGAAGGACGAAAAAGACGAAAAAGCACGAAAAGGATAAATATTTCAAAAAGGACAAAAGCGGACAAAAAGGATAAAAAATTACGAAAAGGACGAATAGGACGAAAAGAATAAAATATTACGAAAAGCACGAAAACGGACGAAAAGGATGAAAAATTATGAACAGGACGAAAAGGATGAAAAATTACGAAAAGGATGAAAAAGGACGAAAAGGACGGAAAAGGACGAAAATGTCGAAAAGGACGAAACAGGACGAAGAAGGACGAAAAGGATAAAAAATTACGAAAAGGGCAAAGAAGGACGAGAAAGAACGAAAAAGGACGATAAGGATGAAAAATTACGAAAAGGACGAAAAAGGATGTAAAAAGACGAAAAGAACGAAAAAGGACGAAAAAGACGACTGGGATGAAAAATTACGAAAAGGACGAAAAAGGACAAAGAGGACGAAAAAGGAAGAACAAGGACGAAAAAGACGAAATGGGATGAAAAAGGACGAAAAGGTCGGAAAGGACGAAAAGGACGAAGAGCACGAACAAGGATGAAAAAGGACGCAATAGGACGAAAAGGACGAATAAGGACGAAAAGGTTAAAAAATTACGAAAAGGACGAAAATGGACAAAGAGGATGAAAAATTACAAAAAGGACGAAAAGGTCGAAAAGGACGAAGAATGACGAAAAGGACGAAAAGTATAAAAAGTTACGAAAAGGGCGAAAAAGGACAAAAAGGAAAAAAAAAAATAACGAAAAGGACGAAAACGGACAAGGATGAAAAATTACGAAGAGGACGAAAACGGACGAAGAGGATAATAATACTTTATTTCAACGCCAAAATAGCTTTAAGTACATGGATTTACAAAGAAGGAGGATACATAGAGTAAAAAATACACACACCTATAATTACCTACATAAGAAGAAGAATTCGTAATTTATGTTTAAAAGAGTTGAATGAAGCATAACAAAAGAAATCAATTTCATTGTAATACAAGTTAGAAACATTCAAAATTTCATGTAAAGGTGAAGCTTTAACATAATTAGTTGCGGCAAAATCAATATAAAATAGAGACTTAATCCTAGTCAGATGTTGGGGCACTCTAAATTTGATCATATTAAGTAGATCAGGCACATCAATAAGGTTATTAAGCAGTTTATAAATGAAGCAAATACTAAAATAAGTTTTCCTAGTACAAAACGTAGACAAATGAAGGTAAGACATCATAAGCTCTAGAGAGCAATTTATATTTGAAGGTAATCTAAACTTGACAAAATGTAAAAATTTTTTTAATATCGAATCAATACGCTCCAGGTGAGTTTTGTAATGTGGAGCCCAAATTATACATCCATAGTCAATAATGGGTACGACTAAAGTTTTATATAAATGAACAATAGTTGTAAAATCAAGGAAGTCTCTTGAATACCTTTTGATGCATCCCAGTACCTTACTTGCTTTGTTAATAACATGATCAATATGAAAAGAGAAATTCAGCTGACTATCAAGAAATATACCGAGATCCTTAACACAGGGCACAGATTTTAAAACAGTATTGTTAATTAAGTAACGAGGAATCGATTTATTTTTTTTCCGAGTAAAGCATATACTGTAACATTTTTCCAAGTTTAAATTCATGCTATTATCAACACACCAACGATATAAACTGTTAAGATCTGCTTGCATTAATTCACAGTCACTGTTACTATTAATATTAAAAAAAAATTTCAAGTCGTCAGCAAATAAACTGTAATTACATTTAAAATTCTTTCCAACATCATTGATAAATAAACAGAACAGAAATGGTCCCAAAATTGATCCTTGAGGAACCCCCGAAGGCACACATCGTCTGTCAGATAAGATACTTTTAATTTTAACCTGCTGAGTTCTACTATCCAGATAACTACCAAACCATTTAAGGAGAGGGTCAAAGACTCCGTAAGCAGCTAATTTTTGTACTAAAATATAATGATTGACTTTGTCAAATGCCTTACAAAAATCACTATAGACGGCGTGAACCTCCAGACCATTACCCATGGATTCAAGAATAGAATTTACATAATGAAATAGATTAGTGATTACAGAGCGCTTTGGAAAGAACCCATGCTGACATGGAGAAATTACAGATTTAAACAAAGGAAATAGTTTCTCTAACACAATAGATTCAAACAGTTTACTTATAGTAGATAACAACGAAATTGGACGGTAATTATTGATACGATTTCTAGCACCATTTTTGTATACTGGGACTACAAACGCGTGTTTCCATGTATCAGGGAAGACTCCTGATGAAAGAGAAAGATTAAATAAAATTTGCAAAGGCAAGACAAGAGCTTCATGACACATTTTTAAAAATTTAGGTGGCAGTCCATCAGGCCCGGGTCCCTTATTGACGTCTAACTTATTAAGAGCATTTTCAATTTCAACAAAACTAACAGAAATAGATCCAACATTAACAGACTTATCAGGTAGCAAAGTACATTTCACAAAATTATTGAAATCAAATGCAGTAAAGAAGTATTCATTAAATGCTTCACAGATGGTTTTATCATCACTTAAAATATGCAAGTCCTGAGATAACATAGGCGAAGGTGTATAATTAAGTTTAGATTTTTTGCTAACAAATTTCCAAAAATTTTTGGGATTAGACTTGAGATCATTTTCAATGCCAGCTAAATATATACTATGAGCAATCTTAATTTCAGATTTACAACGTTTTCTAAGAGCTTCAAAAGTTAGGAGATCACAATTACGATTATACATTTTAAAACGTTTATGCGCTATTTTTTTTTTCCCTTATGAGAGAAATCAAAGATTTCGAGAACCATGGAGGAAACAAATTATTTACAAATTTCCTTTTAAAGGGAACAAACAAATGACAAGCTTCATATATGTACATATAAAAAGTTTCAACAGCTACATTAACATCAATACTAGTAAGGACTTGATTCCAGTCAATGGACATCAAAAAATTTAAAACTCTATTGTAACTAACATTATTGAAATCATAGAAATATTCAAAATAATAATTATAGTCACATGCAAGAAAATTA